GACATGTCTACCCAAGGTCTGTTCACACTCTGCCAAGGTGATTCTGAAATGCATACTGAAGGAGGTACCTAGTATTTATTTGCTTAGTAGCTTGTTATTATAGCCATCCTGGTCTTGATTCATTTTAATTGCTAAAAAGTCTTGTGACTGTTCATTATTTTAAAAAGTTATTTCAGAGTTCTTCTCCCAGAAGAGATATCAGGATTTAGGTTCATTTATACCTCCATAATGCACAAAAATTAATCAATAAAATGATTAAAATCAGTGTATTAAATAGTTACCTAGGTAAATCTTATGCTTCTGAGATTGGCAGCTGCTGTCTACAACTCCAAAGCTATGGTTTGGAGTGGAACATCCTTTTCATGCACAGGTTCATGGCAGATGTTTCGGACTTCCAGTTTTTAGTTATCAATCCATGTTCTCAGTTGAACATAGAATTTTCTCAATATTTTATTATGAAAATTTTCAAACACAGAAGAGAAAAATTGTGAGTAAATACACATATACCTACCACCTAGGTTCTGTAATTAACACTTTGCTCAATTATCTGTCTAGCTATATATCAGTCCATCTAACCCTCCCTCGATTCATCCATCAGTCCATCTTGTTCTTTGATATATTTCAAATTAAGTTGCAGACATCAGAACATTTCACCCGTTGGTAGTTTGGCATGCATATTATTAATTTGAATTTAATATATGGTTGAGAGTTTTTTCATTTCTTAGTAAAGGTTACATACAGTGAAATGTACAAATCCTAAGTATAACCATCCTTGTATTTTGACAAATGCATATGCCTCTGTAACGCAGACCCCATCAAGATCTCAAACCTGCCCACCGCAGACATTCCCTTACGCCCCCTTCCCAGTTATCCCCGCCTCCACTCCCTTCCTTCCCACCCCCAGAGGTAACACTCTTCTGAATTCTGTGACCGTAGGTGAGTTTTGCTTGTTCCAGAGCTTCCTGAAGCGTCTCTTGTGTTGGCTTCTTTCGTTCATCATCAGTGTTTTGAGATTCATTTATGTTGTACATGGGCTTTCCAGGTGGCTCAATAGCAAAGAACCCACCTGCCGCCTGCAGTTCAGGAACCACAGGATGTGCGGGTTTGACTCCTGGGTCGGGAAGACCCCCTGGAGAAGGAAATGACAAGCTGCCCCAGGATTCTGGCCTGGGAAATCCCATGGGTAGAGGAGGCTGGCGGCCTACAGACCAGGGGGTTGCAGAGAGTCAGACACGTGGCTCAGCATGCATGTGTGTTATAATATCAGTATTTTTTTCCTTTTTATTTCTGCCACAGTTTATTTCTCTTGTTGACAGACTTATGAGCTGCTTTCCGTTTGGATTCCTTTGAACATTCTTAGACATATTGTGAATATATGCTCTCATTTCTCTTGGGTAGATAACTCAGGAGTAGAACTGAACACAAAGGAGCTGGGTCCCAGGGTAGCCATACGTTTAATTTTATAAGAAACTGCCAGACCTTTTTCACAGTGACTGTACAACTTTATATACCCTCTAGTGTGTAAGAGTTGCAGTTGTTCCACATCCTTGACAGAATTTCTTTTTAGTTTTAAGCGTTCTGGTGGATGTGCAGAGAAGATATCTTTTTGCAATTCTATTTATTTAGATACTTATTTACTTGGCTGCGTTGGGTCTGAGTTGTGGCACACAGGCTCCAGAGCGTGCAGGCTCAGTAATTACAGGATGCGGGCTCTCTAGGTGAGTCATGGGGGCTTCAGCCGGCCAAGCTGCCCTGCAGCGTGTGGGGTCTTAGTTCCCTGACCGGGGATCAAACTCGCATCCCCTGCATTGCAAGGCGGATTGCTAACCGCTGGACCACCAGGGAAGTCCCGAGAATGTCACTGTTAAATGGCTCTTCTTTAAGAGGAGAACAATCAAAGACCTTGACACGCATGCACACACACATCTAGAACCTGCAGTGTTTTTAAGAGCCGAGCATGATCCAGTGTCTGTACACAGAGCGTTTAGCACAAGGACAGCAACACCTGCGGGAACCTATTGTACGTTAGGTAACTAAAACATGGGAATTATGAATTTTTTTCCCCCAAAATAGGCTGTAAGCCTCCAAGGCCTTGCTATTAATAAGAAATTCCAGTTCTGAGCTCTGGCAGGCGTGGCCCCAGCCAGGCCAGCAGCATTCATATTGCAGCACCTTAGTGCTGAAGCCTGTGGGACACAGGATGTCAGAATTCTTACTCATTTATAGATGCATTTCCATTGCAAGAGGGGGAACAAAATACCATACTCTGGAGAGACTGGCTGTCATGTGGCCTTTAAATTAGGATTCTGTGCTTCACTTTAGCTTGTGCATGACAAAACCTATCCATAGCAGAGAGTCATGTCTTCTCCAGAGTTACAAAGAAAACTAGATTCAAACAGATGCCCTTCACTGAACCAGAGCATTGTGTCCTCAGACCCCAGTTTAACAAGCCTGAACCCCAGGCTGTCCTTCTGGGGCCTAACCGTAGAGAGCAACGTGACAAAGAGGAAGTGGCTTTAGATCTAGAGCGAGCCGGTTTGGAACTGAGATCTGCCAAGCGCTGGCCGCGTGGTGCAGGGAAGTCCCTCCACCTCTCCATGTGTCAGAAGGAAAGACGACCGCCCCTCCCTCGCGAGGACTCTGTGATGGCCAGGCTGCCGCGCTGTGCAGACACGGAAGAGAAGGCGGCTGTAGTCACGGGGGCGGCCCCTCCTCTCTTCCTGTCCACAGTCCCCGGGCCCACGAGCCTCATGAGTGCCCACCAGTGATGCCAGCCACACAGCCGCTCACCTGCTGTGCGTCCTGTGTGCGTGCTCAGCCACCTCAGTCACGTCAGCCCCTTTGCTGGAATGTAGCCGCCAGGCTCCTCTGTCCATGAGATCTCCAGCCAAGATTGCTGAAGGGGCTTGTCATTTCCTCCTTCACCACCCAGGGATCGAACCCACGTCTCCTGCATTGCAGGTGGATTCACTACCACGGGGCCACCAGGGAAGCCCATTTTCTCAGTGAGTGACTGGGATTTATGAGGAAATAATTGTAGTGGAAGAATTCATACCAAGTTATAAATGATGGATGGGTTTAGCCTTCCAAGAAGAAAGTTGTAATTCTGTAAGATTTTTTTCATTCAAGTAACCTTTGGTTGTAAAAGGAGGTATCTGGGAGAAGCACATGGACCGTGAGTCAGAAGCTTCCATAAAACCCTAGCCCTGCTGAGGTGTGAGGGGCCAGCTGTCGCCAGGCCCAGTTCTAACCGCAGAGGATTGTGAAGCGAGTCATGCCCTGACACAGCACTCAGAAGCTCTGCCGGTGAAGCCAGTGATGGTCGGTCGGTTGAGGAGTGTTTCCATAACGTGGAGCCCATCATCCTAAAGGCAGGGCTGGCCTGGGCCTCTCCTGGACCGTGGCTTCATCTATTTCCATTCAGACCGAATGCAAAGCCTGTGTTGCCCTCCCAGGAGGCCCACAGTCCAGTCAGCGGGCCTGGGGAGGTCAGCGAAAGACAAGAAAGGGGTTTTGGTGTGTAATCTGGGGAGCCGCGGGACTTTGTTCCTTAAGGAAAGGTGGATTGTGGTTCAGAGAGAAAAGCTTTCATTTAACGATGACTTGCTTTTGAGCTAAAAAGTTGACTGAGGAAAAAGCTGTACTCATTTGGTATATCAAAAATTCATATTGCACTCAGTAGCTCTGAGCAAATGGTCTTTATTTGTAAAGAAAAAGCAAAATAGGGACTTCTCTGGTGGCCCAGTGGCTAAGACTGCACTCCTAATGCAAAGGGCCCGGGGTTCTATCCCTGGTTGGGGAATTAGATCCCACATGCTCCGACTAAGACCCAATGAAGCCAAATAAAATTTAAGAAAAACAAGAAAAAAAACCAGAAGAAATAAAAATATCCTATAATTATAGGATAAATGAGTCAGAGCCCTTTGGCCACCTGTAAGACCGAGATCTCACACAGGCTGGCCATGAAACTGTTTCTGTACTTATATGGAATGAACTGTGCAGAAAAATTCATACAAAACCCCCTATATTAACACTTGTTTTACGTGATGATTTTTCAATGGTTCAGTCAAGCTGGAACATTTTACCTCTATCTGATGTATTAATATATGGGACTTCTGGCTGTTACAGCTGATGTTGCTAAACCATACTAATCTTCCTCCATAAACAGTCCTACACATTCGTCTGTCTTGCTCTTCGGGTTAACTTACTCCGTTCATTCAGTGCCTACAAATGTATGATGGTTTTAGAAACTGGAAATAGGTGGATTTAGCAGCGTAGCCGCCTGATTATAATCATGACAGCTAGATGTGCCCCAGAATCAATGTCTGAGTTATCAACCTGAGAAATGCAGAACCCCCCAAAGAAAGCATATTTATTACATCTACTGTTAATGGCTTCACTCAGCGTTTGAGATATTAACCGAGCACTAGCACGAAAAATTCATGCTGAGAAAGAAATAGGTACTAAACTGAATCTAAAGTTAAGACCTTGTGAAGAAACATCTAGTAAATTGACTCTGTCTATAATTGATGTGTGTTTGAAGAGCTTTTTTGAAAGGTTTTTTTGAATTCTAGGCTTAAATTCAGATTGCTTTCATATTACAGGAAAAATATACAACATGTCTGAAATAAAAACAGGATACATATGATAGCCTGATAAAAATATTTAATCTTGTTTTAAATTTTTTTTTTTGTCTTTCTGCATTTCTGCAGACTGTCAAAAATGAGAACAGCTGACTGGAGATCTAGATGTCTTGCTTAGCAAGAGCATCCCTTGGACTTCTTCCTGTGCTCAGACTCAGGCATTTTATAAGTGTCGGGCTGTAATAGAGAATTTGTAGTGTTATCACCTGTGTACATCTTTCATCTGTTCATGTTATCTATGCAACATCTTCCTTTCTTGAACTCTTCAGAGTTTTTAATGAAATTGGTTGGAAATGTAACTAATACCATATTTTAAATCTCTTTTTCTTGTTTTACCAAACTTCTGAACAACTTTAGATTCTCAAGATTCATCGTGATTCAGGAGACAATTCTCAGACAGGTGAGAATAGTGCAATTTCACTCTTACACGGTCGGGTGGGATTTGTGGGCTCAAGTCTATGAATCAGTCTGAAGAAGCCTGGATTGACAGTTTCACCCGGAAACTTGAATTGCTGATAATGAAAGGTTTGAGAGCCAGGTTAAAAGCAGGATCCCTTAAAAGGCTTTGAATCTTCATTCATGGCAACCTTTTCTCCTGAATGCCTTCCCCACCCTGGCTTCTTTTGCTGCCTAGAAACCATGGAGAGCAGGTAAACTCAAAACAGAGTGGCCTGGAGGTGCAGAGGGCACGCAGTTGTCACACCAGCCAGGCCCCCCTTCTCTGCAGCAGTGACTGCATCCGACTAGGAAACGTGCTAGGCCCTCCTGGGCCTCAGGAGCAGCGAGGCACCGTTTCAGCTGCCCACACCCGCACGTCATACCTTGAGCAAGACTCACTGACTCCTGGTTTCCTCTCCCGTGAAAAGCGGGGGCTGAACTAATGGCCTCTACCTCAGAAAGGTCTGGAATTCTTTGATCATTAGAGGGGAAAGTCAGTCTGCCTCCAGTGTACAGTTCTCATTCCTGTAGAGACAGCCCCTTCTCCCCGCTGCGGGGGGCTTCCCGGCCGCTTCGGCGCAAAGCTGGGCCCTGGGCTCCTCACGCGGTTCCTCTCCTCCGTTCCGGAGTGGACCGTGTTCTCACCTACTCAGAAAGACTGCATCTGACCTGACCTTCAGTTTCTTCATTTGTCAGATGAATTAACTCTTGATATCTTTCTCCTCTTCCCTCCACACTTTGTTTCTTTCACAGATGGTTTAGTTCATTTCCTTAACCTAGTGAGAGTATTGTTTTAACTAACCTACCAGCTACAAACTGTTACAAGCATTTTCCTGTCCTTTATGGTGCCCAGTATTGCCTTGCATATAATAGACACTCAACAAATACAGAACACTGATGATAAACTGGAACCATCCTGTCTTGGAAAGCAGAAGTTCTGCCACTTACTAGCTCTGTGACCTTGAGCTGCCCACACAATTTCTCCAAGTTTAAATTTCCTCATCAGTAAAATAGAGATTGTACTTTGTAGCCTTCAGAACTGTTGTAATGATTATATAATTATTATCATTAAAATAAATAGTAAAGTACAATGTTCGATGCATAATAGGTGATCAGTATATTGTAGCTGTTTTTTTGTTTTTTTGGATTGATGATACTGTATCCTTTTTGCCATTGAGTATGGCTGTTTGAATCCCTCATCCTTCGTTTCTCTGTCTTTTTAAATTCAAATTCCACAACATCTGTTGATAGAAGGAATAAATGAATTCTTTGATTTAAATGGCCTTTATTGAAGAAATAATTTCTGCAAACCCTTGATCTTTTCTGTTGTTAAAGATTTTCTTAATTTTAGCTGAAATGAAGTCTGAAAGAATAAGCATTTCCCATCTTTGAATAATTCTAGGAATGATTTAGAATTTAACCAGCCAGTCTGGGCTGTATGTAGTCTCTCTAGTTTAGCTTTATTTGGAAACTGCACTTTGAGGAACTCTTGTGCTCTTTAATCCTGAATTTAATCTTAAATATTTAATAAGTTAGGTTTAATTTGTTATCTGATAAACAAATGTTAGGGGTGTATATTATTATTAAGTTCCAGAATAGGCTAAAAACCAATGTCTTGCAAATGACCATTAGTTTCTCAGGTTTGAAAGATGCAATATGATCCTAACAATATCACTTGAAGTACCACTACCTCTAGATTCCTTATAAAGAAATAGTGAAGCTCAAATCCAAGGCCAGCAAAATTATTAAGGCAGGATCTGAAAGAAAAATATGCAAAGGGATAGTAAAATATTTCAAGCTAGGTGATTTAAGGCAAGATCCTAAGGCTTTGTTGTTCAAATTAACTTTATAATACTTCTACCTTCGACTTTGCATATCCCACGTAGTACTAAAGATCCCATCTGCCAGTGCAGGAGACATAAGAGACCTGGGTTCGATCCCTGGGTTGGGAAGATCCCCTAGAGGACGGCATGGCAACCCACTCCAGTGTTCTTGCCTGGAGAGTCCCATGGACAGAGGAGTCTGGTGGGCTATTGTCTACAGGATCACAAAGAGTCAGACACAACTGAAGTGACTTAGCGTACACACACCTTCCACTTTAAGCTATATAAATATAATTCAGGTTTAGTTACTACTGATTTAAACTTTTAAAAACTGAATCAGATTTTTTTAAGTGCTATCTATAGTTGCTGGTTTAAACTGTTTAAAATGGAATCAGATATTTAAGAACATTAATTTAAAAGGTGACCTAGAGAAATATCAAAGACATATTACAAAGTGATAACAAGTAATAAAATAATATTGTAACATGATACCATGTGTGCTTGAAAAGAAGTTATACATGCAGATGAACAGATGTGATTCATAATAAAGGACAACATGAGCTGTATACTTACTATGTAGCAGGCACTGGCTGTCCGTCCCAAGGGCTATGTGTGAATTAACTCGTTTACATCTCACAACAATCTATGAATGAGATGTTATAATCATCCCCATTTTGTGGATACTGAGACACAGAAGGAACATTCCCAAGGTTATACTGCTTCTAGATGGCATAGTGGAGATTGGAATTTCAGCAATTTGGCTTTGGAACTGGATCTGTTAATTACCATGTTCTCTTGTACTTTTTTTGTGTCAGTAGACAATTCTGCAAAAATCACTGCATCTCTTTTTCTCTCTTGAAATATGGTCACTTATGGGTGTCTGAGAAAAGCATTTCCCCTGCTGAAACCTGCACATCTGCACAGTGAGGAAAAACTCTGTGCTGTGGTTAAGTTTTTCTCCTTGCTCATGGGTTACTCATACAAGCAGCAGATGCCCTGAAAATGTTTCTGAAGCCCCCCTCTGACATGTTCACCCTTTGGTCCTCATTGGTAGCATCAGTAGCACTGGTCAACTAGATTTAACATTAATGTGACAGCACATTTTGAGTGTTAAATTCAAAGTCTGCAAAGACACAGATTTTTTTAAGTACTTTTTTTCCATCAGAAAATAGGGATGAAAGTGAAAGTTAAATTGCTAGAAATTGTTGGGATTATAAAACTGCTTTTTCTTCTCTTCATTCCTGGGATCTGCATCATTTGATAAAAGCATATTCTCAGGAGGACTTAGAAAACCATCGAGAGGTCTGACTTTTCAGAGGGACCTAAAATTGGTCCAAATTGATTTCTCAAATAAATTCAGCTCTCTATGGATTTGACTAGTTTATTTCCTCAGATATCCCCACAGAAGCCTTTCCCATCCTTGTCCTTCAGGTCAAAAAGAACTCAAAACAGTCCCCCAGTTTTAATGTCTATTTTCAAGAAGATATTTATTAATGGAACTAAATAACCCTTAATAATAAGCTGCACTACAATGTAATATGGTACTGCAAGAAAAGGGCATCTTTTCACAATTAATATTACTGATAATTCTGTATGTGCTGAGGATTTAAAGACATAGTGGTTTGCTATTTCTTAAAAAATATTTTTACAATGCTTAAAAAGTAACCTTGTTTTCTTTGGAGAATGAGGGGAAAAATATGTGTAAACTTTGCTGTGAATAAGTTGTTAACTAATCATTCTCCATTACTAATCTGACATCCTTAGAGTCTCATTCATTCAGATACAAGAACAGGAGGAAAGAGTCCATTGATGTGAAATCAATATCATCTCGAGGCAGTGATGGTAAGAAGTTCATATTTCCTTGACTTTAAAGTGTAGGAAATGACATATTCAAGAATTCGTCAGCATATAAACTCAATCCCAAAGAGTAGGATTATGACTAAACTGGCTTTTTTCCTGTAGGCAGAAAAGGTTTTAGGCCTTTTTACTCTTTTTTTACTTTCTATAGCCTTTGTCTTCTCTATGAAATGACACTAGGCTTGTTCCTTTATGTCCTAATGTGTGTTAGGACACATAACTGCTGAAGCAGCTCAGCCTTGATAGCTGAGTCCCTCTTAGCGGCTATCCTTCAGGTCACAGTGGGAAACCTGAGCATGAGGGAAGAGGCTGAGCTAACACGGACCAAAGAAACAAGATGGATAATTCATAGAGGAAGATGGCTAAAGCACACAGCATGCAAGAGATTGGGACCCAAAATGAAATGACAAAAATGGACTGACATTTTTCCCAGTGGGTTGAGGGTGTAGAGAGATGGAAAGGATATCCATTTTAGATGGAGAGGATAATGGATGAGGGAATTTCAGCTGGACTAGCTCCGTTTTTATAGATGAGAGCTAGACCCACCATAGGTCCTTGGTGTTAAGACCCTGAAGACTCAGAATGAGGGGGGGCTCACGGATCACACCTTCCCTTCTACACTGCAGTTATTTGGTTACATAATCTGTGACTGAACACCAAAAGTGATGGAGCTGCCCAAGGTGGGCTTCAGTGACTTAGGGAAAGTGAGTCCTGGGGCATCGTTAGGCTCTTGGGATGAGGTTTCCGGATCCCATCAACCCTCTCTGAAATCCCCCTGTGAACCTGAGACTCATAAAACCTTCCTGTCATCAAAGTTCTAGGCCAGAGCACCCTTTCCAGTCCCTGGCAAGCAGTGGCTGAGCTCTCAGCAGTTTAAGATTAAGAGATGGGTGAAGTCATTGCTTTGTGGGGTGCAGTGAGGACCGCAGTCCTGTGAGAATCAGGCCCCCAGTCTATGAAGGGTTCCTTTGCTGCACTGAAACCCAGCTGAGCCACCAGCGACAGATTCCGCTTTCTTCTCTCCAGCACCCAGTCTGCAGAACCGCCGCTACCCATCCATGGCACGGATCCACTCCATGACCATCGAGGCTCCCATCACGAAGGTGAGTGGCAGCTGCGGCCTCTGCACTGCAGCCAGGGCCCCCAAGCCCTCGCTGTATTCTGGAGACAACGCGATGCATGGCATACTACCAGTATCCTGGAGTTTATAGTAAAGGGAACACATTAAACAAATAGATGCATCATAAAGACACATTTATAAATGGCAGTCGCTGTCATAAAGGAAAACAACAGGTGTCTGTGAGGGAGAATTAGGTTAGGGCCCTGTTTTGGTTGGGTGAAAAGGGTGGTCAAGGAGGGTTTCTGTAGCGGAAGTAACATTTGCAGTAAGACCTGAAGGATGCAAAAATGTTAGGAGAAGAGGATTCTAGGCAGGCCAGCAGGGGATGAGTACCGAGGTGGGAGGAGGGAACGGAGCAACTGAGGACTGGAAAGAACATAGCGTGACTGGATCATGGCAAGCAGAGCGGCATCGTGGTGACAGAGATGTGCAGGGTTCAGTTCATTCTGACCAGCTGAGCCATAGGAAGTGTATTTTTAGGTTATGTGCAACAGAAACCACAGAAGAGTTTAAAGGAGGGAAGTGACATGACCTGGTATGTTTATTGAAAAGAACACCCAGCTGCCATGCAGAGAATGGACTGGAGGTGACAAGAGTGAAAGAGAAGAAGCCAGTTATGGACCTATTCCAGAATTCTAAGCAAGGAATGGGGTTAGCTGTATTAGAATTACAGCAGTTGAGGGGGACAGAAATGAGTAGATCAAGAAATATTTGGGAGTAACTTCAATGTCTCTTGATGATGAATTATACGGTCAGGCAGGGCGAGAATTGAGGGAAAGTGATATGTCAACCAGGGCCTCCCAGGTTTTTGGTTTGAGCACAAGATTAATAGAAGTGGTTTGTTTCACCACAATGTAGAAACCAAAGGAGTGCAGCTCTTGTCTTTTGGTGTTTTTTTTTTTTTTTAAATGTTTACTTGCTTTCTTTGGGAAGAGGGGAGCAAGGTCATGACTTTAGTTTTTGACATGTAAGTAAGATACTCCAATAGATAGGCCAGGCGGGGAACTGAATACATAAATACATAAATCTGAAGGTCAAAAAGGAGTTCAGGGCTGGGATGTAATTTTGAGAGTCCTCAGCATGCGGGTTGTATGTGTCGGAGTTGTGAAAATGGAAGAGCTCATCTCTGAGAGAACTGTAGAGAGAGAGAAAGGCCCAGCATTAATCTCTGAGGGACTGCAGCCTGTAGCAGAGAGCTGGAGGAGACAGATCAGCAGAGGAGCCTGAGAAGATGTAGCTGCCGAGGTGAACACCAGGGAGGGTGGCGAGAAAAGCTAGCTTCAGGACGACGGGCGCTGCCCTGAAGACAGGCGGCACTTTGAACAATAAAATGTGTTATTGTCTCATTTCGTTCAGACTGGCCTCCTGAGCGAGTTTTGGGAAGCAGAAGCCTAATGTCCTCAAATTCATTCTTTCTCTCTCTTCACTTCCTTAGGTTATAAATATAATCAACGCAGCCCAAGAAAACAGTCCTGTCACAGTGGCAGAAGCCTTGGACAGAGTTTTAGAAATTTTACGAACTACGGAACTGTACTCCCCTCAGCTGGGTACCAAAGATGAAGATCCCCACACCAGTGATCTCGTGGGAGGGCTGATGACTGTGAGTGATGAGAATGAACCGGAAATGTGGGGCAGAGGACATCAAATGTACTTCCGAGTACATGGAACAGATAAGCTGTTACTGGCAGGTGTAGAAAATGCTGTATGAGCTAACTAGAAGCCGTGGCAGGAACACAAATGAATAATTGGTCCCCCAGAATTCGTGTTACAGTGAGGAGTAGATGGACAGTTGATTGAAGGCTAGCTATCACAATGGGGCCCTTGTTGGCTTCCTCCCCTTGACCTGGTACAGTTAGCCATTGAGACCTTGGCTTCCTTGGGCCTCAGGCCCTTTATATAATGAAAGGGTTGGTACTTAAATGACAGCACTAGTTTCCAAGATCTTACCTGTAGAATCCTTTCTTTAAATAAAAGCTTTACATAGCATTCCCTTTATAATCAGTAAAACAGTGGGGCCACTGTGGCTCAGAATAGGGAGGAGGGGCGGGGCCGCCCCTTGCCAGCACTCCAGGACCACCATCTGTAACCACGAGAAGTGGCTGATTTCTAAGGACCTCGTCCTGGCCTGTTGGTATTGCTGTGATCTGTCCACAATCATCATCTATCAGCAAGTGAAGAAAAATAAGAAAGTTCAAATTATTCATTTGTGCTTCTTATTGGAGAATGAAGCTGGAAGCACTCTTTGGGAGAACAAAGTCTGAGACACCAAAGAGTGTTACTTTCAAGTTTTCTGTCTAGCCCTGCCACCAGATGTTGAATGTTGACTGGCTTTCTGGTCCATTGTCCTTGTTCCTACCAAAGGTCCCTGATGCCCCCGTGATTTGAGTAACCTCCTGTTCCTTTCAAGGCCCTGGGTTGGCCTTGGTTGCCCATCCCAATGCAGTGTAGACTCTATTTCTAAAGGACACACACACCACACCAGAATATTATTCAGCCAGTAAAAAAAAAAAAGAATGAAATAATACCATTTGCAGCAACATGAATAGACCTACAGATTATCACATGAAGTGAAGTTGTCAGACAGAGAAAAACAAATATATGGTATCCCTTTCACGTGAAATTTAAAATAATGATGCAAATGAACTTATTTATGAAATAGAAATAGACTCGCAGATATAGAAAACAAATTTATGGCCACCAAAGGGGAAAGGGGTGGTAGAGGAGATAAATTAAGAGATTAGGGTTAGCAGATACAAACTACTATATATAAAACAGATAAGCAACAAGAACCTGCTGAATAGCACAGGGGATTTTAGTCAATATCTTATAATAATCTATAATATAAAAGAATCTGAAAAAGAATATGCACACACACACACACATATATATGTATAACCACTTTGCCACGCATCTGAAACCATCACAACATTGAAGGTCAACAATACTGCCATTAAAAAAACAAAGGAAGACTAGCAAGGGTCTGTTAGGAGGCTGGCCACTGCAGAGCTGCTGTGGGAAGATTCTGGTTCCCAGAACAAGTTACCTGCCATCCTTTCCCCGCTGCCAGACCATGGGCTTCCTCTCCAGGTCATGCGGTGAGGAACCAGTGCAAGCTTCACCTATTTTTATGAAGCATTAGGAAAGAGAAGAGACAAAGGCAAATTAAAAGCAGAAGGAGAAAATAAAAACAACAGAGGAGTTCCTTGTGATACCTGCCTTAGAGGCTGGATAGTTATGGCCATCATTATCTATTTATCTAGTTTTGAAATTTTAAGCTCTTGGTCTGAAGATTCTAAGTGTGACTTCAGGAGAAACCTTCATTAACACTTTAAACCTTAGCACATACTTTCCCAGGATGACAAATAAGCAATTATAAATGACTTTTAAGCAAAGATCTAAATAATTGGGTACTCGGGTAGAAGGTAGAGGATAGGAACTGAGATTGAAGAACATCTGGGGACTAAAGTTCAAGAGCCTGTTAAATGGTGGAACATGGGCATTCTGTTCACTCCCCTCCGCTGCCCTTCCCAAGACCTCAAGTCCAGAAACTTCCTTTGAAGACTAACAGCTAAGCTCCTGTTATAAGATAGGAACTATAACTGGAAAAAAGTTAATTTAGATGTTAGTCAAAAATTAACCCAACCTTTTAAAAGCTTTGGGGCTTCCCCAGTGGCTCAGTAGTAAAGCATCTGCTCAGCAGTAAAGGAGATGCGGGTTTGATCCCTGGGTCGGGAAGATCCCCTGGAGGAGGGTGTGACAACCTATTCCAGTATTCGTGCTTGGAGAATCCCATGGACAGAGGAGCCTGGTGGGCTACAGTCTACAGGGTCACAAAGAGTCGATACAACTGAGTGACTGAGCACTCTAAAGGCTTTCCATTAAATCATACCCCAAAAGTGGCCCATGGATTTGGCTCCCCAGGATGTAAGTCTAAGAACACCAAAGTGACAGTCCCTAGGGCTTCCCTGATAGCTCAGTTGGTAAAGAATCCGCCTGTGATTCCTGGGTCGGGAAGGTCCCCTGGAGAAGGGATAGGCTATGCACTCCAGTAATCTTGGGCTTCCCTTGTGGCTCAGCTGGTAAAGAATCCGCCTGCAGTGCAGGAGACTTGGGTTTGATCCCTGGGTTGGGAAGATCCCCTGGAGAAGGGAACAGCTGCCCACTCCAGTATTCTGGCCTGGAGAATTCCACGGACTATATAGTCCATGGGGTCACAAAGAGTTGGACACGACTGAGCAACTTGCACTTTCACTTTCATGAGGGTGACTGGGGTCCTTTCAGATTAACATGCACCCAAAGCAAGACTGCTTCTGTGATTTCATTAATATGGCTTCAAAACGTCACAAAGGAAAGACAGCGTGAGGACAGAGCCAGCTCACAGCCCAGGTGAGAGAGTGCAGTCACAGCCACTTGAGTCTCAGTTCCCCATCTCCTGCAGCTAATAGCCATGAAAAGGAGAGTATCCCGTGTTTCGTGGCAGCTGTTGTTCTGATCCAATTTTGAGCTTCAGCTTGAAGTTGCAGATTGACTGGGTTATTCAGGATTCAAATCCCTTTGGCTAACTAAAGAACTGAGAGAATGATGATAATGGCATAGAAAGCATGCTTCTCATAGCATCTGTCTTTATTCCAGGATGGCTTGAGAAGGTTGTCAGGAAACGAGTACGTCTTCACTAAGAGTAAGTTGTCCTCTCTCCACCTGTAACTGATAACATGTCTCTGGCCTTTTGTCTCCCTTGGAGTTGTGATTATTGTTTGGGGAGGGTGTCCGTGATACTTGCTGTTGGTCTCATTGGAGTTTAAACATCTCTATGGTCTACATTTGAAACCAGGTCTCCTAATATAAATTACTTCTCTGTGCACTGTCAGAGTAGGAATCACAAATCTGACTATATTTAAACAGTTAATTCAGTTAAGCTGAATTATTTTTCTATTGGGGGAATCTTGAAGTTCAGAAGTATAAGAGAACCCTGAGGTGAAAATCTTTCTGCCCCTGGAAGTTCAAGACTTTCTTTCTAGCAGCACCCATGATGACAGATGCTCGGCAGCACCCAGGAGTCCCCAGTTACCCACTCTTCTCGCCCCATCTCTTTGTTCAGACGTGCCCCAGAGTCATAGTCACCTTGCGATGCCAGTAACCATCAATGATGTCCCCCCTTCCATCGCCCAGTTACTTGATAATGAGGAAAGCTGGGAGTTCAACATCTTTGAACTGGAAGCTGTGACGCACAAAAGGTATGTGTCTTCTCCAGCTGCTGGCAGGGGAGGGTTGATGGACACGCTCTAGACTTTCACATCTGGAAACTGTGAGGGAGATGTGAGTCCTTGCCACAGGTGACCACCAGGCTCTGCTTTTCATGCCGTGCTGGAGGAGTTTCAATCATGCAGAGAGGCCATGGTCCCTGGAGCGAGCTCCCTATGGAGCAGGGAGTATCAGCGGGTAAGATTTGGGATCAGCCTGGTGACGACCCAGGATGAAGAAATACCGAGTGTCTTCTTCAGATATAGCCAGGTCATCCTTTCTGCCAGTGAGTCAAGAGTTCTAAGCATTCGCAGCCCCAAACTTGTTAAAGTTCTACCTGACAGCATGACTTTGAGAGCACTGTAGACTTTTCCTTGGATTCATCCCATAGGCAGGAGAAAGACTGGATAACCCAGAAAGTCCTCTTCTATTACAGAAGTTCATTTCTTCCAAGGGTGTTGGATGTGGATGATACTCACCTGTAAATAAGGAGTTGACGCTCAGTGACATGACTCTGCTGAGCCCACAGAAGCCACCCTCTTGTACCCAGGCTCAGTAACTCCCTCGGGGAACACAGGAGTGTGGAGCTTATGTGGAAGCAGAGAGAGGGGCTGTAAGAGGCCTTTCTTGGCTGTGGAGCCACTTAAGGGCGGATGACTTAGAGGCAGTCTAGAAGTCATTTGGCTTAGCCACCACAAGGCACCTAGATTTAAAGAAGTGACGGGTGAGGAGGAGAGGCTCTATCACCTTCTAATTTGGAGAGGACAATTTTTAGGCCCCTGTGCTTGTGGAGTAAGCATCGGAGGGAGGTAAACGAATTGCCCAGTATCTCCAAAGAAAGCAGTTTCTGGAGCAGTGAATACAGTGAATCAAAGGGTACTTTCTTTTTTTTCAGGCCATTGGTTTACCTGGGCTTGAAAGTATTTTCCCGGTTTGGAGTATGTGAATTTCTACACTGCTCTGAAACGACTCTTCGGGCCTGGCTCCAGGTGATTGAAGCCAACTACCACTCTTCCAACGCTTACCACAACTCCACCCATGCCGCTGATGTCCTGCACGCCACAGCCTTCTTCCTCGGCAAGGAAAGAGTGAAGGTAGAATTTTGATAGCATGATCTAGTTACCTGCATGGCTTTTGGAGAACTCACTAAAAACTCGACCTTCATAAATATATTAAGCAAACAGCTATTTTGGACCAAATTTGACAGAATTTTTGAGCTACCAAAGTGACCGATCCTTTCGGTGTTGTAAAGACACGGCCTTTTCTCCTAGTCCTCCCTTCCCCCAAATGCTTAAAATAATAATTTATGCCACCGTAGGGACTTCTTTACATGTCTGGCTGATCCATAAACCCATTCTCCAAATGTTCACTAGCAGTCCTTCATGATACCAGCTTAGAAGACAGAACTTAATTATTATAGCAAATGGTTACTAGGTCTAGAGATTAAATTTTAAGATCAGAATTTTATCATTGGTATGTTATAGTCCACATAGCTATGAGCCATTCAGCATCCTACTGACTTATATCCATACATATGTGTTTTGTGTAGGTGTGACTTGTGTACATCTGTATGCTAATGATATGTGTAACTCTGAAAGAGGTCCAAGTTCCTTAGTCTGAGAAGTCAGCACTATCATTTAAGGTGCTGGTTTGCAGGGCAGCTCTATGTATACCCCTCGTGTGGCTGCAAGAGATCCCTGTCTCCCCTGTTTTCCAACTATCATCACTTTCAGTGAAGCTTGTCATTCTTTGCTGCTACAATTACAAGTGAAGCTTAGAAAGTACATGCCCTTGGGACAAGTGCTATATAGAGACAGACTGACATAAACCTGCAGATGCTTAAGTCATTGTCTTCCTTAGTCTTAGACCCTAGGTCCTCAAGGCAGAGAGTGACAGTGGGACTGGTCAGAGGGGCAGAAAAGGCGCCAACACGGGGAGGGGGAGGCTTTGCCCTCTCAGTTTTGCCAAAGACTGACCCTGGCATTTGTTTTCATCAGCAAGAAAGCAAACAGGGTGGTTCAAGAATGGTGCTTTTGTAAGATTTTTATCTCTTTTTAAAAAGGTGGTATCACAGGTGATAACAGCCTGTTTCTATGGCACCGTTTTTGGCTGCATGGGCTTTTCGTCGCGGTGCACAAGCTGTCTTTAAGTGCGGCACTCATGGGCTTCTGCAGTCACAACACGCAGGCTTCTCTTTCTGTGAGGAGCTAAAACACTTCAAGATTCCTATCCAGTTCCACATCCCTCCATTTTCCACCACATGAGAGATGATACAGCAGAGTTCGCACACGGTCAAATGAGGACAGGAGGGTGGGCATTAACACTGAGACCAAACTGACCTGTAGGCACTGCAGCCTTGAGTTCAAGATGGAGTCCTCTTAAACAGAATCATTCTAGAAAAAATATAGATTAAATGCGTGATAAATTAGGGAATGCTTAGTCACTTTATTATCTCCTTTACTCTCCCTCCCCTAAAGTAAGGAATTTTCTTTAAATTATTTGTTCTGCTAGTGCATTCAGAGTCTAATTAAATTCTCAAATAGCAGCAATACAAATAAGTCTAAGACTAGATACAATATGCTTGTAATCCAAAAGACATTTTCTAAGAGGCCAAAGAACCAGATAATTTAGAGCGGCAAGGAACCCTGGAAAATTGGGCTGGAAGGGACTCCTGGGCTCAAAGGTTTAGTAGCAGCCCAAGATCACTGGTTAGTCCACTGTGAAGTGCTTCAAGTGGGTTTACTCCTGAGGCCTCGTCCACCAGACCTGCTTCCACTGCTCAAGAGTCAGAAAAATGTTCTTACCAAATCCCCACATCATCTGTCACTCCTAACTTCTTTAGAAGGCTAAAGCTGTTGACGTCACTGTGACAGCTGTGACACTGTGAGGCTTCCACGTCCTCAGCCAGAACATGTGCAGAGCCGGCATTTTCCTTCAGTGCCTTACAGACCCTGTCCCCTGCCCACTCTTACCTGTTTTCAGGAACCACTCTTAGTGGAGAGGTCAGGATAGTTAGCGTTCTTTTGTGATTGTCTGCATGTGACTGTTGATCCTAGTAAAGGAGCTGTTGCGAAGGCTAATCTAGGATGGAGTCCATTCTGACCCTGCTGGCTGAAGGAAGACAACACTGCAGAAATGTCTGCATTTCTCCTCCCGTGGGTTTGGCGGGGGGTTTCTTCCACAGTCGTCCCCGCCGTGGGAAGAGCCTTGCTCCTCCCATCTGCTAGTGAACAGCCAGGCCTTCTTTCCCCGCCTCCCTTGCATTTCTTATCAGACACTGCCTTGATAGACAGTGCCCACCAAAACTCAGGGCATGGCCCTGACAGCGCTGTAAAGGGCAGGGTCCGAATCGGCGCAAGCTGGAAGGGCATGTCACCTCTAATGCTATTTGTTGCCTACTCTAGTCACTTGAATCTATGTCATTGAAGAATGTAAAAATAAATTGGCCCCATACTCCAAGCAAGATAGAACACACCCCAAGAGCACTGGCTGGATGCCCGCTTTGGGCCTCATGGGCCTCCCTGCATGGGGACTGTCAGTGAGCGTGGAGACCAGGCAGGGGCAGCCCGGGCCCCACGGTCCCTGCGGGTTACCGCGGCCTCTCTAACCGGCAGCCACAGGGGGCTAGGCGTGTTCGCTCGCCCTGGGCGTCACAGCATCAGTGTCTGGGAAGAACCAAGAAGGGCCTTGACTGCTCTGCCCGCTTGAGAATGTGGTTCATGTGGACTGAGGCCAAGCCAGGACTGTCCCCAGCTCCAGGAGGTCAGTCTGAAAATGGAAATGTCTCCCTTCTGGTAGGGGCAGTTTTCAGAAGAGTTTTCAGGACTGAGCTTCAGATTCACCGTTTCTTACCTGTTTGCATCTGAGAAGCAGTTTGCAGGGCTTTCCTCCAACAGCCTAGGAAAGCAACCCAGGAAAACCAAAAATTATGCCCACCCCACCCCCTACCCTGAGCCGCATCTTGGGAACCACTTTTCCTCTCGCTCACTACCCTTCAGTCACAATGGTGCTCTTTAAGTTCCCTCTTCAGAAATCACTTTGTTTCGCATCAGAAGCATCATATAGACTGATCTTTCTGCCTGGATTTCTCTCCCTTGCCATTTTTTGCCTGACTGGCTCCTGCTTATCCTTCTTCCAGCATAAGAATCGCTCCCTCAGAGAGACCATTCTTGCCCACCCTCTGCATCTGCATCATCCAAAGTAGCGTGTGTGTGTGTGTGTGTGTGTGTGTGTGTGCGCGCGCGCACATGTGTTAAGTCACTCAGTCGTGTCTGACTCTTTGCAACCCCATGGACTGTAGCCCACCAGGCTCCTTTGTCCATGGGATTTTTCCAAGCAAGAATACTGGAGTGGGTTGCCAGTAGCCACATTTAATTAAAATAAAATGAGACATTCCATTCCTTGGGCGCACTGGCACATTTCAAGTGTCCAGGAGCCGTGAGGGATGAGGGGTTGCTGTATTAGAGAGCCCATGTACACACTTCTCCATCACCACAGAAAGCTGAATGGACTACAATGCCCTAAACGAAATCAGGCCTCATGGCTACACTCACAAACCACCTGCACCTTCCTTCTTAACCCATCTTACAGTAAGTTACTTATGCCTTCCCCAGTAAATGGCCAGCTGCGTTAGCAGACACTATGCCAGAGTAATTCCCCACAACTCCTGCAGCCTGCAAGACAGCTGGCGCCCAGCAAGCATCCAATAAATGGTGACTGAAGGAAAGAATTCATAAAGTACAGTGTCTTATACAACAGCAGGCCATTGGATAACTTCTTCCTCAAGCTGTGAGCTGAGAAAACGTTTGTATCCCCTGATGCTCTAGGTTGTGTTCTTTAATTATATGATGAGTGTGTTAAGAAGAGGGGTCCCCGTTTGTGCCTTTGCCACCTGCTGGCCAAGAGCCAAACTGTGTTTAACTGTGAGAGCCCCCTTAGTGTCAGTTTCCTGGGAAAATCCTTCTTGCCCTTGATCCTCTTATGTTACTTGCCTCTACTCCTTTTATCTTTGTGTGGAGACTTTTGTTTATCTGTGCTGTTTACTGCCACACTCTCAGAAGCTTTTCAGAAGTAGGCAAGTAAAGTAACACTTGTGATCCTAGGCCGCTTTCTTCTCTGTCCGCTTATAGAAGAGAGTCATGGCACTATGCCACATTCCACGCATTCCTGTTTGTCATTTTCCTGCAGAACAACTAGAGTAAATGGACTGTGGAGAAGGAATCCAGGTATCCATTATAACCGCAACTCAGACATCTGTTTCCCTCCAGATAATCCACGGTACAGCAAGGTGATGTGATGTGTCCTAGGTGGCCTCTTACCTTCAAGGAAGTCAGAGAAGGAACCCCTGGCGTATGCCCTCCTGGGAGACAGGGATGAGTGTAGGTCTCCATTATCCAGTGGGTAACACTCGACCTCGCCTCCCCAGGGAAGCCTCGATCAGCTGGACGAGGTGGCCGCCCTGATCGCTGCCACAGTCCACGACGTGGACCACCCGGGAAGGACCAACTCTTTCCTGTGCAACGCGGGCAGCGAGCTCGCCGTCCTCTATAATGACACCGCCGTCTTGGAGAGTCACCACACAGCCCTGGCCTTCCAGCTCACGGTCAAAGACAGCAAGTGCAACATTTTCAAGAACATCGACAGGTTTGTGTGCTCAGGCTCTTGTGATTGGGTTGGTAAAGTGTCTCAGTTTTCCCTGGCTTCTCCAAGTACTTAGCTTCCTCTTGGTGGGGAAGGGGAGATAATAATAGTTTTCCCACTGTATCAGACAGTAAAATAATAGCCTTGCCCTTCTCATCTTAACTGTACTTTTTAGACTGTTTTCACCTTTTTAAACTCCATTTGGTCTTCAGTAAATTCATGAAAATGCTTTATATGCTGCAAAGATTTCTACAGATACTGCTACTAATAAATATAACACATATTTTTACTCTCTCAAAAGGACATCCTGTCTTTGGTGTAACTCAAGGAAATATATCCTTCCCCATCTTTCCCCAGCTCAGTTTTTGGCCACTTAAAATCCTAACTCATGAGGAGACCGTGTTCCCCGGTCCCAGCAGAGCTCCCGGAGGCCACAGGGTAGGGTGGCTTTCCCCCTCATGGTTGTCCTCTCTCCTCTGGTGAGTTGGCCACATGTGAACAGATAGGGGCCATTCTTCTCGCCTGACACAGCCCTGCAGCCAGACTGAATATTTCCCACATAGTACCAGCCAGGCTGGAGAGAAGACCCCCTGCAAGAGGGCAGTGCAATGAGAGCGCACAGCTCACTCGGGCCTCAGTCATCACTTGTCACCACGAACCCGAACCGATCTCTAGAAACCTGAGAAAATATCATTATAATAATATGAAAATATTCAATTATTCCACCTTCAGCTGAAGGCTTCAAGTACTGTTTTTAAAACTTTCAGAGGAGGAATTGTTGCCAATAGCCAGTTTTATTCAGTTCCTCATTCTGGCTCCTGGAGTTAAGAGAAAGATGATAGGAGCTGGACAGTGACTTTGAGCAGGGTTGCTGCTCCTTCCATTACAACTTCTATGTAACTGTAATGTGAATAATTGCTTGTTGATTGGAAAACTTTCTTCCAATGCCGTCATCAAAAGAAATGACAAGACTTCTCTGTACTGTGAATCGCTGTGTCTGCGCTGAATGCCGGGGCACAGCTCGTCAGGCCGCTGCGCCAGCCTCACAGGGAAGGAACTCGTCATTTCCTCCTGCCTCGCTGTTCTGATGTTACCAAGGGCAGACAGAGGGGCATCACCTTGTAAAATAAGTGCCCATGTGACAGGCAGGGCCTCTTCTAACACTCACAAATCATGTGAGGGTCAGCTACCTTTGGGAAGAGGTATAGTGTCACCAAGTCCTGGCTCAGTAGGAAGATGAGCAGGTAAACTTTCTGTGGTCTTCACTCATTTCTTCAGTGCCCCTAGCTTCCTCCTGGATTGTGAGAAGTGTCGTGAAATGGCAGAACAGTTCTAATTCAGGGGGCATGATTTGAACAAAGGCCCTTTGTCTTCTGGTTATTTCAGGAACCATTATCGAACACTGCGCCAAGCTATTATTGACATGGTTTTAGCAACAGAGATGACAAAACACTTTGAACACGTAAACAAATTTGTGAACAGCATCAACAAGCCAATGGCGGCTGAGGTAAGCATTTCACATGTAATAATATACATCAGAGTGTATTTCCATTATACCCTATACTCTGGCCTCAAAGCATTTTCTCTCCGTCTTGAACACAAGATGGTTCCTTACTTGGAGTTGGTAAGGAAGGGCTGAAAGTGTTGGCCACTTGTTTTCCCTGGCATCTTGAATACAACATGGTTCCTTACTTGGAGTTGGTAAGAAAGGGCTGAAAGTGTTGGCCACCTGTTTTCCCTGGAGACAAGAACAGACTGACAGTGTCCAAAGCAACTCTGAACTCCCTGAAATAAAGCCAGTGGTGACAAAAGTAGGCCCAAAGACGACAATGAGAGGAGCCTGCAGACAGCAGAGGCTGGAATAAATGGTGGCGTTTTAGAGGATTCAAAGCCCTTCTAGTTCTGTGTTCTTTGGGCCCTTGGGAGACCTCAAAATTAGATGCTTTAAAGAACTATATCCCTATTGATTTTCATTAAATGCCCATCAGTATCTGAAGACTGTAGACAGTTAAACTGGGAGTGACTGGTTGAAAACAAAACCACGAGGTGGGTGGTGATAGGAACACTGAACTTTGAAGCTCAGTGTGTTTGTATTGCTTGAATATGTTGGCGTATCATATACGGAATTAAACTTGGGAACGCCTCCTTCATCACGTCTCATGCCTGAGGTGGCCTGGGTGACGGCCATCTAGTATCTAGCCAGTTGACTCCTGCGGGCTTCACCACTGGATTGAACCAACCCTCGTCTGCTTTCCAGATTGACGGCAGCGACTGCGAGTGCAGCCCTCCGGGGAAGAACTTCCCTGAGAACCAGACCCTGATCAAACGCATGATGATTAAGTGTGCGGATGTGGCCAACCCCTGCCGCCCCCTGGACCTGTGCATTGAATGGGCTGGGAGGATCTCTGAGGAGTACTTTGCGCAGGTGGGCTGCCTCTCTGGGGAAGCGCCAGGAGTGAGCACGTAAATGACTCTTCCTCAGAAAGAAATGGCTACCCCCTGCCTGGAATAGAATTCTGGCCCCTCAAGAGACCAACTGGTATGACTGGTCACTACTCAGTCTCTCTAGGGGGAAGGAGAGAACCTGAGGCTTTGGGATTCTTTTCATTCTCAACTTTTTAGATCCTGAACTTCCACAAAAACTGGGAAATCCATTCATTCATCAGATTATTATCTCCATGTTGTATTGTGGGAAACACAGACATAAGGCACATCTCTGCCCGAGGGTAGCTCATAATGCAGTAGGGGACATAGACATAAATAGGTCCACACAATAATATTTTTTTAAGTGAAAACACTTCTAAAGGAGGTATATGTTAAGTCCTAAGAGTTCAGAAAGGGCTTTTATCTAGAAAGGTGGAAAAGGTGTTAGAGCTGATTTTTTTTTTTTTTAAGGTTTTCAAAATTTAGAAGTGGGCAAGGACATTCTGAGAGAACCAAGTGTTATGACCAAAATTAGTAAAGAGGAAACAGAATTTCTACATAGGAATAGTAACTTTGGCAGTGTGAAGAGTTGAAGAATAACCCAGAAAGTAGCAAACCACAAGATGCCATTTGAAATAGAGGCCTACTTCCAAAGAAGAGGCTTTAGGGACTAATGTTTATGATGTGGGACAGAAAGACAAGCATGTCTGAAGTAGCTACAAGTAATTATTTAGGGAGGGGGAGTGCCGATCTCACTGGAATGTACTACTGAGGCAGGGTAAAGACTAGCCAATGGTGTCTAGAAGGGTTGGCAGAGCAAAAACCAGCTAAGGATGCAGTAAGTTAGATGTAGCTTTCAAGGATGGGAAGGGAGTCCATGAATTAAAGAGAATTAGGACAGCCAGCTCTGAGCTTGCCAGAAAGAGAAGGGGAAAAAAACCCCAAACCACTCCTTGAACCAGCAGTGGATATTTTAAGGCTGCCTGATCGACTAATCTGAAATGAGCAAGCTGAGCCAAAACTGGTAGGAGACCATTAATGGGGCTTTCCAGGACCCACAGAGAAGACTTAAAATCCTATTCCTAGATATTCTCAAAGTATGTGAATGGGGAATGGGAAAGAACCATTTTTAAGTTCTTTAATGTAATTTCCCTGTGTAGGTGTCCTTTTCCCATAAAGGAAATGTTCACATGACAATGTGACCTAAAAATCGAGTTACAAATGAGGTCTCTGGTCAGCCAGTCTCTGGCTCAGTACACCACCAGTAAATGTGGATTTTAACTTCAATCCTGTGAATTATAACCTTAAGCATTATAAACATACACTTCAATGTGCAAAATACTCAATTTTACACATATTGTCAGAATTGCATGCATGACCAATACAGACATCCAAATAGTTTGTCAGTCATTCTTTTCAGTAAAAAACAGTTATTCCATGAAGAAAAAAATCTAGTTCAACTCAACTGCCTACCTGCTTTTCCTCCAGACAACCATCACACCCTTGGATATGCATCACAAGGGCTTTGTATGTACTTCGGATTTTGTCACACAGAATACTTTAAAAAGGTATTTTCAAAGGTCAAGTTTAGTAAGATTAATAATTCGTACTGCTTTAATTTAGACATTCTTAAGTGAAACGGACTTTCTTTTTCAACTGCAAGCAAGTAACAGTGAATAATACAGTGTCTGTTGATACAGCTTAGTTCCAGGTCTTTGATTCGTGCTGAGACATCAGCAGCTTTACACCCACCAATGCTTCGGTACCCTCAGTGTAAATTCCACTTAGTATTTAGTAGTATTACTTTGAAAGTTGTGACCTTGCAATCATGAAAACAGATCTTAGAAATGAGGGTATGAATTCTGAAATCAGTGCTTCGGTGGGGTGGGGAGGGCGGGTAGCTGTAAGATAGTATCTAACACATTTAAGAGTCAGAAGACCTGAATCCAGTCACTGCAGTCACTCATCAGGTAGGTGAGTTATGTAAGCCCTGGGAAATGCTGAGCCTATTCATCGATACAACTGGATTATGACACCTTTTTCACAGGGTGGTTCTGACAAACTCGATGCTACTGTGACAGCCCTGTGTGTATTATTTCTTACAGACAGATGAAGAGAAGAGACAAGGGCTACCTGTAGTGATGCCAGTGTTTGACCGGAATACCTGTAGCATCCCCAAGTCCCAAATCTCCTTTATTGACTACTTCATAACAGACATGTTTGACGCTTGGGATGGTAAGATGGTTCATGTTTTGTTACCCATAAACAGAATATCTTGTTACGCTTTATAATGATTACGTTTAATGACAGAGGCCAGGCCTAAAGGTGTTAAATGTTATTTTTTTTAAAAACGTCAGCTGTTTGTGGCCAGATATGGTGGGGGTATGTGAACACTTTCTGCATCCTCAGCACAGACCATGTGTATGGAAGACTCAATGGATGTCCGGTAAATGGATAAACAAGTGTTTAACTCTTCAAAGGACATATTTCCAAAGTTTAAAGGAGTTTTCTTATATCACTGGAGGAAATTCTAGAGAAATAAAATATAAGCCTACTCTGAATCACAGATCCTTTTGGTAATATCACTTGATAGACAGCTTTTCACTGAGATCTGTTTTAATTTTCATGTTGGATCGCAGTTGGTTTACAATGCGTTACTTTCAGGTATACAGCCAGGTGACTCGGGTACACGTATACACACGTCCATTCTCTTTCAGATCCTTAACCCACATAGGTTATTACAGAGTATGTCTACTGTTGAGCAGAATTCCCTGTGCTCCACAGGAGGTCTTATTGATTACTCTCTACATAGCAGTGTGTAGATGGCAGTCTCAAACTCCTGATTTATCCCTCCCTCCACATTTCCCCTCTGGTAACCATGAGTTTGTTTTTGAAGTCTCTGAGCTTATTTGTTTTGTAAATAAGTTCATTTTCATTTTTTTTTTTTAAGATTCCACATATAAATGATCTTTCTCTGACTTACTTCATTTAGTGTGATAGTCTCTAGGTCCATCCATGTTGCTGCAAATGGCATTATTTCATTCTTTTTGTAATGGCTGAGTGACATTCAGTTCAGTTCAGTCAGTCGCTCAGTCGTGTACAACTCTTTGCAACCCCATGGACTGCAGCACGCCAGGCCTCCCTGTCCATCACCAACTCCCGGAGCCTACTCAAACTCATGTCCATTGAGTCAGTGATGCCATCCAACCATTTCATCCTCTGTCGTTCCCTTCTCCTACCACCTTCAATCTTTCCCAGCATCAGGATCTTTTCCAGTAGCTCAGTTCTTTGCATCAGATATTCAAAATATTGGAGTTTCAGTTTCAGCATCAGTCCTTCCAATGAATATTCAGGACTGATCTCCTTTAGGATGGACTAGTTGGATCTCCTTGCCATCCAAGGGACTCTCAAGAGTCTACTCCAACACCACAGTTCAAAAGCATCAATTCTTCAGCACTCATCTTTCTTTATACTCCAACTGTCACATCCATACATGACTACTGGAAACACCATAGCTTTCACTAGATGGACCTTTGTTGGCAAAGTAATGTCTCTGGCTTTTTAATATGCTGTCTAGGTTGGTCATAACTTTTCTTCCAAGGAGCAAGCATCTTTTAATTTCATGGCTGCAATCACCATCTGCACTGATTTTGCAGCCCCCCAAAATAAAGTCTCCCACCATTTCCACTGTTTCCCCATCTATTTGCCATAAAGTGATGGGACCAGATGCCATCTTAGTTTTCTAAATGTGGAGTCTTAAGCCAACTTTTTCACTTTCCTCTTTCACTTTCATCAAGAGGCTCTTTAGTTCTTCTTCGCTTTCTGCCATAAGTGTGGGGTCACCTGCATATCTGAGGTTATTGACATTTCTCCCGGCAGTGTTGATCCCAGCTTGTGCTTCATCCAGCCCAGCGTTTCTCATGATGTACTCTGCGTGTAAGTTAAATAAGCACAGTGACTATATACAGCCTTGACATACTCCTTTTCCTATTTGGATCCAGTCTGTTGTTCCATGTCCAGTTCTAACTTTTGCTTCCTGACCTGCATACAGATTTCTCAAAAGGCAGGTCAGATGGTCTGGTATTCCCATCTCTTGAAGAATTTTCCAGTTTGTTGTGATCCACAGTCAAAGGCTTTTGCATAGTCAATAAAGCAGATGTTTTTCTGGAACGTTCTTGCTTTTTCGATGATCCAACAGATGTTGGCAATTTGATCTCTGGTTCCTCTGCCTTTTCTAAATCCAGCTTGAACATATGGAAGTTCACGGTTCCCATACTGTTGAAACCTGGCTTGGAGAATTTTGAGCACTACTTTACTAGCGTGTGAGATGAGTGCAATTGTGCAGTAGTTTGAGCATTCTTTGGGATTGCCTTTCTTTGGGACTGGAATGAAAACTGACCTTTTCCAGTCCTGTGGCCACTGCTGAGTTTTCCAGATTTGCTGGTATATTGACTGCAGCACTTTCACAGCATCATCTTTCAGGATTTGAACTAGCTCAACTGAAATTCCATCACCTCCACTAGCTTTGTTGGTAGTGATGCTTCCTAAGGCCCATTCAACTTTGCACTCCAGGATGTCTGGCTCTAGGTGAGTGGTCACACCATAGTGATTATCTGGGTCATGAAGATCTTTTTTGCATAGTTCTTCTGTGTATTCTTTCCACCTCTTCTTAATATCTTCTGCTTCTGTTAGATCCATACCATTTCTGTCCTTTATTGAGCCCATCTTTGCATGAAATGTCCCCTTGGTATCTCTAATTTTCTTGGAGAGATCTCTGGTCTTTCCCATTCTATTGTTTTCCTCTATTTCTTTGCACTGATCACTGAGGAAGGCTTTCTTATTTCTCCTTGCTGTTCGTCGGAACTCTCCATTCAGATGGGTGTATCTTTCCTTTTCTCTTTTGCCTTTCACTTCATTTCTTTTCACTATTTGTAAGGCCTCCTCAGATAACCATTTTGTCTTTTTGCACTTCTTTTTCTTGGGGATGGTCTTGATCCCTGCCTCCTGTACAATGTCACGAACCTCCGTCCCTAGTTCTTCAGGCACTCTTGTCTATCAGATCTAATCCCTTGAATCTATTTGTCACTTCCACTGTATATTCGTAAGGGGTTTGATTTAGGTCATACCCGAATGGTTTAGTGGTTTTCCCTACTTTCTTCAATTTAAGTCTGAATTTGGCAATAAGGAGTTCATGATCTGAGCCACAGTCAGCTCCTGGTCTTGTTTTTGCTGTTTAGAGCTTCTCCATATTTGGCTGCAAAGAATATAGTCAATCTGATTTTGGTATTGACCATCTGGCGATGTCCATGTGTAGAGTCTTCTCTTGTGTTGTTGGAAGAGGGTGTTTGCCATGACCAGTGCGTTCTCTTGGCAAAACTCTATTAGCCTTTGCCCTGCTTCATTCTGTACTCCAAGGCCATATTTGCCTGTTACTCCAGTATTTCTTGACTTCCTACTTTTGCATTCCAGTCCCCTATAATGAAAAGGACATCTTTTTTAGGTGTTACCTCTAGAAGATCTAGGTCTTCATAGAACCACTCACCTTCAGTTTCTTCGGCATTACTGGTCGGGGCATAGACCTGGATTCCTGTGATATTGAATGGTTTGCCTTGGAAACGAAGAGAGATCATTCCGTTGTTTTTGAGACTGTATCCAAGTACTGCATTTTTTTGGACTCTTTTGAACTCTTTTGTTGACTATGATGGCTACTCCATTTCTTCTAAGGAATTCTTGCCCACAGTAGTAGATATAATCCTCATCTGAGTTAAATTCATCAATTGTGTATATCTACCACATCTTCATTAATCTGTCAATGGACATTTAGGTTGCTTTCATGTCTTGGCTATTGTAAAGTGTACTACAATGAACACTGGGGTGCATGTATCTTTTTGAATTGTGGCTTTCTCTGGATATATGCCCAGTAGTGGGACTGTTGGGTCATATGGTAATTCCACTTTAAGTTTTCTGAAACTCCATATTTTTCTCCATAGTGGCTGTACCAATTTACATTCCCATCAACAGTGTAGGAAGGTTCCTTCCTCTTCACTCTCTCTTCAGCATTTATGGTGTGAGGGTGATAACTCATTGTAGCTTTGATTTGCATTTCTCATTTAGTGATGTGGAGCTTTTTGGCCATCTGTATGTCTTCTTTGAAGAAATGTCTATTTCAGTCCATTTTTTGAGTGGGTTGTTTGACCTAGAGCTGCATGAGCTATTGATATATTTCAGATTGATCCCTTGTCAGTCACTTCATTTGCAAATATTTTCTCCCATTCTGTGGGTTGTCTTTTCATTTTGTCTATGGTTTCCTTTGCTGCGCAAAAGTGTTTAACTCGGTCCCATTTATGTCTGTTTTTTTCATTACTCTAGGTAGGAGGTAGATCCAAATAGATAGTGGTGTGACTTGTGGCAGCTAGTGTTCTGCCTCTGTTTTCCTCTAGGAATTTTATAGTATCTGACTTTACATTTAGGTGTTTGATCCATTTTGAGTTTATTTTTGTGTATTGTGTTAGAGAACATTCCAATTGAGTTCTTTTACATGGAGTTGCAAAACTGAGTTGTCAGTTTTCCCAGCACCACTTACTGTAGACACTCGTTTCTCCATCATGTATTCTTGTCTCCTTTGCTGTAGATTAATTGACGGTAAGTGTGCGGGCTTATTTCTGGGCTTTCCGTTCTGTTGCATTCATCTCCATTTCTCTTTTTGTGCCAGGACCATACTGTTTTGATGACTGTAGCTTTGTAGTATAGTCTGAAGTCAGAGAGTGATTCCTCCAGCTCTGTTTTTCTCTCTCTGGGTTGCTTTGGCTATTTGGGGTTTTTGTGTTTCCATACAAATTTTTAAATACTTTTTCTAGTTCTGTGAAAAATGCTACTGGTATTTTGATAGGGATAGGGATTGCCTTAGGGTAGTATAGTCATTTTCACAGTATTGATTCTTCCAATCCAGGAACATGGTATCTTTCCAGCTGTCTGTGTCATCTTCAGTTTGTTTCATCAACATCTTATAGTTTTCAGTGTATAGGTCTTTTGCTGCTTTAGGTAGGTTTATTTCAAGGTATCTTATTCTTTTTGATGTGATTGTAAATAGGGTTGTTTACTTAATTTCTCTTTCTGATCTTTTGTTAGCAATTTTTAGTTAAAAGGACCTGTTCCTATTATAGAAACCAGTATTTAGTGATTTATCCTTCTCACACTTGTGTATTCACCTTAGGCCTAACCTAGGGTACCTCACCTCCAATTATGATCCCGAATTTGTCCCAGAGAGCCTCAACCTTATAAATGCTCCTAGAATCTAACTTAACAGGCTTCTTTCTATTTTTTTAATGTCCTTGCAGCCTTTGCACACCTGCCAACACTGATGCAACATTTGGCCGATAACTACAAACACTGGAAGACATTAGATGACCTAAAGTGCAAAAGTCTGAGGCTTCCGTCTGACAGTTAAAGCCAAGACAGAGAAGGTGACCTCTTGATCTACAAAGGGCACTGTGAATCACAGCAGTGTAAGAGGCTTTCCTTCATAATGAAAATGACAGGTATAGGTTAAGGAGATAATGTTTAATATCTGACCTTGAATCATTCAATTCCCAAATTTCATTTTTAGAAAACTATGTTCTGTGAAGAAAAATATTAATATATGTTCTTCTGAACAATCACTTAGTGACAGAACAAACACATGGCAAAATCCATTGCCCTGCTGTAATCCTGTGTGCTCTCATCAAACCATGCAGCTGATTCACTGTAACTAGCAGGACACATGCAGCAAAGACTTGGTGCCCACAAGCCCACCATCTCTGTGTACAATGGACCATGAAGCTTTGCTCGTGTTTAGCTCATCCTTTACCATGAAAGTCTCTATCACTGTTTGGCTTGACTATTTTCCTCAAGAGCGTCAATCTAAAAAATGCCTAAGAATTTCTAATTTTTAAAAACATATATAAAATGAGCAAAACAACTGGGACCAAACTGCTGATAAACTAGTTTCAGAGCCTCCATGGCTAGGTGGTTCTTCTGACTAATGGTGTGACACTCAAATTAGAATATAGCCTTGGCCTAGTGAGTGCCTTCTTTAGACTGATATCAGCAGCCTGCATAGCCCTCTCTCCCAAAAAGGGGATTCATCCTAACAGATAGCCATCCATGAAGGGGAAGGAAGTGACATCTTGTTTGGGGGTAATCCAAGAGCTTTATCCCTTTATTTCTGGTTTACAGAGGCAGTCACAAGGCACTACAGTGAGTATTATATACAAGCCATTAATCTGACTACCCTTGGACAAGCTTGTTTTTTAAAAAAATTTATATACATTTGCTGTTTAAAATTTTTTATTAGACCAGTCTAAATTTTCTGGGTTTAAGTCCATGGAGTATGTTGTGCCATGTTACCAAGGAGAGAAAGTTTCAAGGTTCAGATGTTTTTAACCTATCTATATTTATGATCATGCCATTTTGCTTTAATGATGTAAAAAAAAAAAAGACTGCAAGATGTGTAAATATATCAGAAAATAGACATATGGGGAAGCAGTAAATACTATTTTAAGCTATTAATTGTATGCTAAAAGCTTCTAAAGCACAAGTGCATATTTTTATACAGCTCTTTTCACAACTTTCTGTGATCAAGTCAGTCTTGAGATTTTCCTTTCTCTTTTACCAGCCAACCCTTCTGTGTATTATAAATATTAGAGATTTAGTAAACAAAATCTTTGTTCTTTTAAATTCTCTGTACTCCATGCTGCATTCCTAAGAGGTATAAACAGAGACTAAATTAACTGAACCAGTAGTTACTTTTTTTCAAATGAAAATCTGAATGCAGCATACTTGGAACTAGTACATGGGGGGAAAAAATGACTTAATCACTACAAAATGTGCCAATGCTTTTTTCTATGTTTTGTACCAAAAAATGCAAACATATATGACAATTCCATGCAAAGAAAGAAATGTACCTAAATTATTTTTGTTAGATGCTAAGAGAACTTGCTTGGTCAGGAGAGCAGCTAGCTTTGTATTGTAATGCTGCATTATGTAAATGTGATGAAAATGTTTTTGTGAAGTACTTGTAACTAAATTCCTACAGCCATTTTTCATTCCTAACAGCTGTTTTTATTTTAACTCTTTGGCCTAAATTTTTCATAATTTCAAATTTTCGGTTAAGTGTTCTTTGTTTCATGAATCACACACTTTGTTTTCAGAACACATTAAATTCACGATGTCAGAATCCCATTTTAAGGAGCTAAATAATTTGCCTAAGCTTCAGAAGCTTGCTTGAGACAACAACAATCTTTTCCTGACCATCTCGCTTTTGGTTACATTTGGTAAGTGACATTCATTTGATGTCTGACATTTTTCTATATGAATGTTATAGCTGACTCAGTTTCAAATTAATTTCATATTAACACTGCCAGGTACTAAAGCTTTAGCATACCTCTGCTCTTTACCAGTGTCATCTACTATGGTGTAATCTTTCACTGAGTCGCTAATTAAATAGTGCATTCCTAAAAATAGTTTATAAGAAATAGTCTTTTAGATGGTATGTGTATCAGATAGGTATAAATTATTATCTCTTATTTAGTAAAATATTCTCTGTTGAGGGGAGCCTTATTAATTTAGGAAAATAAAATCTCATTTAGAGAGAAGTCATATTACTGCTACTACTACTGAACCAGAAGTTATAAAACACTGTTGCCTGGACCAAAATAACACTATAATTTAATTAGGTTATTTTTTTACTTCCAATTTAAGATTTTAAAATTATGCTTGCCTTCAGAGTTAGGACGCCTCATCTATTCAACCAGAAGCCACTCAAGTTGACAAAGATAAATACAGTGTCCCCAAGTTTAGGCTCTTATGTGAATAAGCCAGAAAATGAGGTAATAAGGGTATTTTTAAGTAAAAATGACAAGGCCTAATGTACAATATTGTATCTGGTGTTGCAAATATAATAGCACTGAAAGCTACGCTAGGGAAATGGAAAAAATGCATATACTATATATTGATGTCAGTTATAGTATAATCTGAAGTTTAACTTATAGCAGTAGTCTCCATACAACTAGTGGACAGCCATCAAGTATGAGTCCATGTTAGATTCGCCCATCTCTGACCTTAGGGCATTCATGAAAGCAAAACCATCAGGTTTCATGAATGGGTTAGAGACTTTCCTCTAAATGTTAATAACAGAGGGACTCACAGTGGTACTTACTTATGCTATTTGCTCCCCAAACTTACCTAGGGTTTCTAACATTCCTTGTGAATAGACTGCTGTCACTTAATACTAATCTAGAACAAGTCAGGAAAAGCAAAGAATCTATGAATTCCTTTATAATTCATTGAATATCTTATACAATTCAAAAAGAGTTTATAAACTCATGACCTAATAATGCATACCCTCCAAAGAAAAAGCTAATTAGTAATAGGGCAAAGTCCATCTATGGAGAAAAATTAAAAGCCTAAAAATGACTGATGAAGAACCTGATGCACTCAGACCAAAATGCATGTTGGCTTGGTTAGGAATCCTACCCATGTGCCAACTTCAGCGTGAGATTAGAAGTGCCTCTGTATAACACTCAGTTATGCCATAATAACCATCTTGGCTAAAAGGCAGTGCTAATTTTTCTATTATAAAATGGAGGTTATATAAATTTTATATTTCTCCGTAAATCTGTTTTCATTGTGAATTAAAACAATGATTGTGAACATTACTTGGTTTTGCTCAAGGGGTGATCATATAAGCCCTTCTCTCTCATTCATATTTTTTTTTTAAAGCTGTTCACTGATAATGGGAATTGAGCTAGCTAACTAGAAGGGCTTACCTGACTGGGCTTCAGCTTCCTCATTTAAAAGCACTATGGCACTCGTCTGACATAGGTGACCAAAGCTCATCCAGACTTTGTAGGTAGTTAATAACGGAAGCAACTGTCAAAGGTAAAGCTAGTTAATTTTTTTTACAAAGATTTCATTAGGGTCTGTGGATTCTGTTAGGGGTGTGTGTGATGAATAAACCCAGAAAGTGTTCTTTGAGAAGTATCAGTCCTAACACATCAGCCCCCTTGTAGTTACTTCAATAGGATTCTTTCATCAGCAGTTTAACTCCACAGTTAAAAACACCCATTTTTTAATGTATGGGTGCCAAAAGGGAGAAAGAGTACTCTAAGGCTGATGGGGTAATGAAGCTGATTTAATCTCAGGTAACTGCAAGAAACGACGTTAAGTAAAGCCTGTCTCAAGCATTTCATATTTGAGCCAATGGTAAGATGAATCAGGCACTTTGGTAACACTTAACTCTTTACTGATCTAGCTCTCATCTCTAACATATATGAGGGGCAGCCAGCCGCTAGTCTTGTACCAAGTGGCTGTTCAGGCTAGAGGGAAGAAATACACCCTAATAAGATTCCTACTGATTTGAGTTTATAGGGACTTTAGCAGATAGAATTAAAAATGAATGATTTAAACAAACGGTGGTTATTGTTCAGTCACTAAAAGTTGGCACCAAAAATTTTTTAAAAAGCTGTAGTTAAAACAGTGAGATTCAGGTTTGCTTCACGGCATAGTGGTAGTTACTAAAGACCAGGGGAATTTGTAGGAGAAAGGATATTTATCACAAGAATTCTTAATCAAACAGGCTCTAAGGAAAACCAAAGAAAAAAAATACTATTACTTCTATTTCTACCTCCTTCCAGGGTCTAGATTCAAATTAAGAAGCTTACAACACAGCACTCACCACTTCAACAACAGACAATTATTATGGAATCTTCATTTCCTCCAGGGAAGCATCAGTTTTCTAGATACCTCAAGGTTTAAACTCAAGATATGCTACATCCTATTTATTCTTCAGTGGAGTTTTCATTTTTCTCATAGAATATCTTCCATAATTATCATGTATATTTATTTCCATTAAAGCAGGTTCCTTAAATAAGAATTTAAAAGAATGACACATGGTCACATAGTTAAAATATTAGTTTTGAATAACAAAGTCAGGTATTTCAAAATCCAGAAAGGCTAAATGAAAGAAACTACATGTAAAACTTAAAAAATCTAATTCCTGGTGATGAATTTAGTTAGAGGCAATATAGTAACACTAAAGACGGAGAGAGGTTCTGAGTACTATGCTTTTCATTAAGCATAAGCTTATACAATTTCTGATGTAAAATTTAAAGCATAAAAATTTTATCTCTGTGAGGATACTGTGGTATAATTTAATTCTGCTTCATCAGACAGTTGTGCTGAAGTCTGAACAAATCAGACCCATTCCTACAATGGTTTCAGGTAACTTATGTGGAAAGTCAAACAAAAAACTTAAGCCATATTCTTTGGTGGATGTACTAGTACCTCAGAAGCATACCTGTTGCTGATTTGCAGACCCCCTAAAAAATTTAAACAAAATTAAATAAATAATCAATATGGTAATGGTTTTCAGAGCATCACCCTATATTTGATGTTCAAGGTTCATGTATAGGTTATTCATTCCTTAACCTAGACAGACAGATACAAGTCACCATTCTCCTCTAATTTTTGAAATAACTTTAAACTGCGTAATCCGGATTCTCGTTCTCCATTTTTCCAGAGAATAATGAGGTGATCAGCAGAACAAGTCACTAGTCCATGGTCTTCAAAGTACAGAAACATCTGTAGAAAAAAATTAATTACTGATTATAGGAAATTCAAGGAGAAGAGAAGCAGCTAATACCAAGTAGACTAATGTAGGTCCTTGCTGAAATATGTACCTTGGAGATGTCTTTGGATCTATCAAACTCCATATCTTTCATGAGAAATTTAAGTGTGGTTGATAATCACATACAAATGCCAGACCCATATCTAATATTTTAATAATCAGAACTTTGTAAACACTACTCAACTACAGAGCTATAAATAACAGCTATTTTTTTTTTAATTTTCAAAGTGTCATCTAAATTTTACCATTATCTAATTCTTTAAGAATTGGTTTTAAGATTTTTTTCAGCAGAAGTCCTAACAAACCTGCTTCATTTAATCATTTCTGCTGGCCTTCTTATTAATGTAAAAATGGCCACAATAAAATATCTGAATTCCAAGTACTCCAAGATAAACAGTAGCTTTGCTCTCTATATAAACAGAGAATAATCAATCCTTAAGCATTTACTGAGTGTTATCTATATGCTTGTAATCCCTACCCTCAAGAAGCTTCTAGTTCAGCTGTGAAAACTGAATCTTAGTTGAAACAGCAGGGGTGTCAATCAAAGATGATGTAATTAGGTGCTAAATAATGTACTTCAGGCTATGATTTGCCACAGAAAAAGGAGGCATACATCAATACTGAACGAAATTGTCCGAGAAATCTAACACAACATTAAACTCTCCAAATAAAAGTAAGGTCATGCCCAGTGAAAGGATAGGCTGGAAGTTAAGAACAGGAAAATGGAATGCTGATAAGAAGGCAGCATGCATCCTATGGAGAGAGCTGGTATAAGAGAGGAGGTAAATGAAACTATGAAAAGGATGAGCTCCTCAAGAGAAAGAGTGAAATAAAGGAGAGAAATAGGAATGTGAGCTTTCTGAGAAATAACTTATACATTTCTGAAGGTAACAGGAAACAGTCTTAGCTGATGATGCAGTAGTGAAAGGGGAGGAACTATGAGTTAAATTCCTCTGATGTACACAGAGATGTTCAAGTGAGAATTCAGTACACACAGGTATACAGGACTAGGCTGAGAGAGTCAGGACAAAAATAAAAAAGAAATGAGAAAATTTAAGAAAGAGCCAAGATTTTCTCAATGAAGCCAGAGATACTTTAAAAAATAATTAAATGTCAACACTTCTACTCAGGCAAATTTCTAAGAATCTGACACTTCTATAGAATGACAAATGTAAAACCTTTAAAAAAAAAAAAAAGGTTTTAAAATGCCATTTAAAAACCTTCAATAGTTTTTTTAAAACCCACTCTTTAAAAAAGCTTAAAGGCCAAACTGCTTAGCCATACATTCAATAATCTGGCCCCAAACTACTTTCCCAAAGCTTTATCTCCTACTGTGTCCATTCACTGGAACACAGACCTCCAGGCTAGCAAACCTGCTCCTTGCCACCAAGTAGATTCTGTCTTTGCCCTCCTGTCTACATGTGCACAACTCCCAAAGTTAAAACACAAAATGAAAACAACTGGGCTACCTGTTACAGGAATGCAAAAATGAGTAAGACATGAGTACCCAACATCAGGGAGCTTATGGTCACAAGACTATCTTAATCCTCCGAAGCATCAAGGTTCAGCTCAAGGCCCATCCATTATCTTCCACTAACCATTTTCTTCTAATTCCTGAGTATTCTGCTACTAATCTGGGTCCATCATAAGCAACCTAGATTAATAGCTTACTAAGTCTACCTATAATGTGCCTGTCTACTGAAACATAAGCTCCATGACAGCAAGGATTACATTTTATATCCCTTTGTAAACTCTAATGTCCAGTATAGTGCCTGAAATACAGGAAATGCTCAATAATAAGGTGGTGGTGTGCTGCTGCTCTTAAGTATAAATGCACTTTCAAATGAAAAATTAATTTGTTCCTCCCTGGCTATGAAACAGAGAAGCATAATTTAGGAAATTCATCACTCAGGGCTGTGGTGACACTGTTACCAGTTGAAATTATCTCTCTACCTCGACTGGTCTTTTTCCCTCTTCATTGCAGGCAATGGTGCTGATAGTAAATATTAAAGTTAGAACTGGGTGCACCCTGTAATTCTGACCTGTCTTCATATATACACGATGGTAATCAAGACACTGGGTTTTACTAACGCTAACTAATTGTCCTTCAAAGCGAGGTGAGACAGACTTCTGTTCATGAGTTTGGTAATGCCCCCTGGCATTAGACTCTGTGAGGCTTTGCCTCTGTGTATGTGAGCGCGCTTCCCCACGCGCTGTCTGCATTAACTGCCATTCAACAGCATTCACTGCTCTTACACTGAGCACTGTCCTTACCGTCAGCTGTCTACCTACATCTCACGAGTAAAGTTAAGTAAGCCAATTTTTAGAAGCAAGACATTCCTCCTTCAAATCATTTCTCTGTGTAGGGAGATCTTTATTGCTCATACTAAAACCTATCCCACTCCATATTTAGAATCAGCAAGAACTTACTAATAAGAGAAGGTTTAGGGTTTTATGAGACCAAATGAATGAACAGCAGTGAGATGCAAAAAGCAAGACTCCCCTGGATACTTTTATGCTTATTAAAAACAATACCTCCACAGATGATGAGTGTCCAATTAAATCTCCAATAAGCTCTAGTGAACAGGAAGTGGCATTTTCTTGTTGCTTTTTAACAGGATGGCTGGCTTGTTTATTTACTCTTCCAAATCCCCACATGTTAAAAAAACCTAGAAAAACACAACCATTTTAATCATCCTCAAAATTAGTGTGCTTCCCTTGTGGCTCAGCTGGTAAAGAATCCACCTGCAATGCAGGAGACCTGGGTTCGATCCCTGGGTTGAGAAGATCCCCTGGAAAAGGGAACAGCTACCCACTCCAATATTCTAGCCTGGAGAATTCCATGGACCGTATAGTCCATGGAGTTGCAAAGCGCTGGAAACAACTGAGTGACTTTCATTTTCCTTAACAATAATAATGTAAGATCAGAAAAACAAAACTTAAATGCAAAGGTGTTTCTCACTTATTTTAGTCAAGGGCTAATAAGTGAGCAGATGATACCAGGCACTATGCTAGGGTTTTTTAAATATGTTGCTTCATTTCCTCTTAGCTACCCACGTTTGTTGCTCAGCTCTTCTTATTGCCCCTACGCACGCACTGCTAAAGGTGTGTTTACATGAGAAAAAGGCAATGGAAATCAAAGTGGAGAGAAATGAAAGGGCTGAATGGCAGTGTGGGGGCAGGAAGGTCACAACTTAAGGACAGACGAAAAGCAACATATGTGACAATACCCTATGACTTCAAATAACCAGAAGAAACTCCAAGGGTACTGGCATTTGATTTCTTATGCGAAGGCTGCTAATTAACTAGGATTTTTTCAAATCAAGCACCAGAAAATCAAAAGCTCAAGAGATTAATGATATAAACACAAAAAAGTGTTTGTTTATAAATTGAGTTCAATGTTAATGCTTCAAGGCTGAAGAACTTTGACACCTGATGGTACACATTATGTTTATATACCAGACATAATTACAATATATTGATAAATAGCTAATTAGGCCATTTGGTCAGTCAGGCAAGAATACTGAAGTGGGTAGCCATTCCCTTCTCCAGGAGATCTTTCCAACCCAGGGATCAAACCTGGATCCTTCTGCATTGCAGGCAGAGTCTTTACCATCTGAGCCACCAGGGGAAGCCCATTTGATGAGTCAGATCAGTTAGTTTCCCCTCAAAGAACCCTAGCTGACTTGAAATAAACAGGCGGTCCTGCAGTAAGTATTAACATGTGAATCCCCCACCCCGATTCTCAAATGCTTCATGTAAACATGCTTATTTGGAGCACACTGTCTATTATTCCTGTGGTTACACGTAACTGCCTCTCGTCTGTCTTTCATATGGGAAAAAAGCAAGACCACCTTTTGGAGAGAAGATACATACCCGTTGGCACTGGCTCCACGGAAAGCTGCTGTTTTTCTCGTAGCTCCCAAATGCGTACACTGCCATCTTCTGAGCATGAAATAACCTGCCTGTCAGAAGAGAGAAAGAGCACCATGGAGGGCAAGTGCTCAAAGTGCAGGGAAAACAATCAGTGCAGCCTTAACTGCTTTCTTCCAGCTCTTGGCAAGAGCTGATAAACAAAATCACAATTTAACATGGCTTTACAGTGCAAAGTGAAACACTCTTCAGGAAAGGCATGCATTATAGTGTGAGACTGGCTCAAATGCTACAAACATGTATCACTTCCATTTTTAAAAATGCATGCAGGAAAAGAGGTTATGAATCACACTCTCACAACATCCTGAGAAGCCCCATTCCTTTCTCTCACCTCCCACTCTGAAAGCATCCTGCAGAGTCAGTACTGCTGTGCTGTGCTTAGGTGCCCAGTCGTGTCCAGCTCTCTGCAACCCCGCAGACTGTAGCCCACTAGGTTCCTCTGTCCATGGGATTCTCCAGGCCAGAATACTGGAGTGGGTTGCCATGCCCCCTCCTCAAGGGGATCTTCCCAACCCAGGGATCCAACCCAGGCCTCCCACGTTGCAGGCAGATTCTTTACTAGTTGAGCAACTAGGGACGTCCAGAAAATCTACCATTTCCTTCATATAATTCATTCCTAGAAACTCAATGGCCAAATCTGCCCTGAGAGAAAAGCCCTCAGTTATAGTAGTCTCAGCCAACAAAGAAACTACCATTTAATCTGGCCATAAACACTACCAACAAAAAGGTGGCTTTGTGGAAAATATTTAAAAATTAGAACACAGTGTCCAAAAGTCTTCTATTAAAATAAATACCAAATTTTAAATTCTCTCTTCTTACAATGAAATTCAGTATAATTTGTTTGAACCCTGCTGTTTGTAAATTTTGTAATATATGGCCACAAACTCTTCTGTTAGAGATAGCCATGGGGTATTCTCCATTTTCAAAAGAACCTGTTGGTCAAGCAACAGAGCCAGGTGACTTGCCCCTCGAGCAATTACACTGGTGGCCCTGGGAACTATGCATTTCTTTTACCTGTTATAGAACAGATGGAAACGTGTACCTGTTTGGGAGTTTCACAACGTGCAGGACACTGGAGTCATGAGCAGTTTTCTGGCAGGCAATCACACGCTTCATCTGAAGGTTATACACGTATAAACCCCTTCCAACTGCAACAAATACATTCTGGGGGAGATAAAAGGTCAGAAATGCACATAAAACTAACACCACTACCCGATGTAACAGATTTCCAGCCTTGGTGTGAGATCACAAAGTCCTTGTTACCTTCCTTAGTCGTAGCCTTCAGCCCAAATTACTGTACTGCCCTCTAAAGTCCAAAAATATCAAAGCACAAAGGAAAGCTCAGCATTTAGAAGGTCTAAGGACACGACTGCTAATACAGAGCGAACTCTGTGTGTTACACCCTGCAGCATCCTCGCCTTCCTTACTGAAACGCGACAGCTAGAGCAGGGGCTGTGGCTGGAAGACTGGTGCCACAGAGGTGGAGCTGCTGGGGTACAGCCTGGATTTTCATTCACACAATACTGTATTGTTGGGAAACCACTTAGCTGCTTCTACCTGAAAAATGTGAGCAACATCACTTGGGTTCCACATCTTAAGCATCACAAGAACTATGAAGTATACAAAACAGCATATGCTAGAGTGGCAGAGAGATATATATATTGGTTTCACAAAAACATTTTTTCCAGTTCTACTAAATTTCAATTTTTCCTTTCTACTAAAACAGCTTTAATCTTTTGAAAGTACTTTCACCAATATTTATCTTACTTCAGCTTCACAACATCTCATTAATGAAGGAAAAGCTATTTTGCAGAATAACAAGTCAAAATAAAAAATTAAAGTCACACAAAAAATGAAGACATGAGAGGTGGTATTGGAATTCAGATCATGTGACTCCGGTTCCTTACTCTTGCCTCATACCATACCACATAGCTTCTGAACCTATTTTCCAAGTCACTAGACTTCTGGTGGCTCTCATCTAAGAATCATTTATTCTTACTCAGTAGATGTGCCAGTGAGACAAACCTTTCAAAAATCCTTTTCCCTTCCTGTTCTCACCACAGAACACTTCTCATGCAGCCTCAAAGGCTATAATGCCAATTCAGACCTATAGTATCTCGACCAAACATGACTCCAAGGCTTACCAGAGCCTAAATTTGGAATGACTCCCTTGACCCTTGGGACTGGTGTTCTGCACACAGCAATGCTAGCTAAGGGCCAGTGCCAGGCACAAAAATAAAAACAGCTGGCAAGCTTGCTAAAATCTAGAGCCCTGGCAAACATTCAATGCAAAGAAACTCCAGAAATGAGCTTATATGGACCAGGAAATCTGTGCAGAGTTCAAATGCTTTATCCAAATTACAAAATTATAAATACAACTAGAGAATTAATAAGCTTTGGGGCAGTGTTTACTCAATAGAATCACTCTATCAGTCACTTGTCATTAACAATAACTGACCCCCTTGTAGAAAGAAAAAAAAACTTTTATAAAAGAAAGAAAATGAGGGAAAACTGAGTAATGCTTTATGAAGCATTTAATAAACATCAATCAAAAATTAAAGATTAATTAAGATTAAAGAGAATGCAAAATGAAAAAACTTTAAGCACTAATTTTTACAACAATAAGAAAAAGGTATCAAATTAAAAATATAATTTTTAGGGCTACAACTCTTAGAAATCTAGTTTCTATCTTTCCTGAGGCTATTGTTTTTATCATATATATTTACTCTTTTTTCCCCAAAAGTAAAGTTAGAATATAAAGAAACTTAATCTTTAGGTACAACAATGTTCTTTACCTATTCTTACTCTATTCTATTTTGGTTTGGTTTTTAAAGTAAGAGAGGTTCAAAGAAAGCCAAAAAAAAAAAAAAAAAAAAGTGGACCACGTTCTCCCCGTCCAGAACACTATTACTCATTTTTAAAATAAAAATTAAAAAGCATACAATTATCAGATTTAAAGAGTATAGGGAGACACAGAATAAAGTGAGGTAACAGCCTCCTCCAGCCCCTCTCCTTGAAGTTTACAACTCAAACATTTCTTGTGATTAGATTTAGAAAAATAACCCCATTTTAAATATGTTTTCTGAGCTCCTAAAGCTAAAAGAAGAGATGTTCAGATCAGAGCCAAGATTCAGAAATCCATTGGTACTAATCTCTTACTGCAATAAAAGATGTCAAGTGCTTCAAGAGCAACCGGCCTGAAGGACTGAAATCTGTAATTCTCACACAATCACCTTGCCCCAGGATACTAGCAGACTAAAAGAAAGGCATTCCTGAAGTTTTTAATTTCCTTCACTTCTCCAGGAAATGCACCAGAATCTTGAAAAGGATTCTTTCTCAAAGTGTTCCTTAAAACAATTTTAAGCATTATCCTCAGATCCTATGGGAATATTTAATACGGCTCAAAACTTCAATGGGTTCTAAAATCTGTGGCCATTTAATCACCTCCTTGCCTCAAAGATAAGAGGCAAGGAGGTGATAAAAGATTAAAATGCTTTTTTTTTAAAGCAAATGATGTAATCTTTGCAATACATCAAAACATTTTAAAGCACAACTTGGACACAAGGAATGACACCTTTCTATATCATGAGATTAAATTTTCCCAATTAGAAACTGAGTTTAGTAAAAGATGTTAAGATTATGGAAATTTTCTCAACTTTTTTTACCTCTTCATCCCATGTGAGATGATGGATAGAAACGTCATTTGGCTTTTGACAGAGTTTTATTTCCCGCTGAGCATCCAGCTGCGGAGATGGGTCCCAGAAGTTGCGTTCGCAGGCCTGCACGGTCCAGCCCAGGGTGTCCCAGACGATGAGTTCCCCGACATGGGAGCCAGATACAAAACTCACATCTAGGCAGAGTTCATATGTCTCTTTATTGATCATTTACCTAGGCTACAGTAAAAATGAATGAACTGCCTAGTAGTATTGCTCTATAAAATCACAGTATTAACAACAGGGAGGTAACTCAACAAGCCAAATAGGAAGATTAACAGAACAGAAAGACCAGAAATAAACTCAAGTTTACTTACACATTTAGTAATAATAATAATAACTGCTTTTCAATTCAATCAAGAAAGAAAGAACTCATGCTGGAATACCTGGCTAAGTATTTGGGGAACAAAGACAAAGGAATTTTACCTTGGATCATATACAGTCAAGAAAAAGTTACACTTGTGTTTCTCCTTTACCCCCACACTCACAACATGCCTGAAGCCAATGTGTGGGGGTTTTCCCCACAGCAAGTAGTTAGCGACACCAGCTGAATACCCCTACAGTTTAACTCAGCTCTGGCACCATCTACCTGGAAACGGTGTCAGTCCCCACAGGCTAAGGACTCGGTCCTGCAGGGCTTCTCTCACTCCAGATACTAAAGCAAACCCAGGCTGTTACCCGTGTTTCTAACTGGCTGTAAGCTGGAGAGTCCCACATCCCCGCCTCAGGTTCAGAGCAGCTCACAAAACTCAGGCCAGCAATCTACCTGCTGCCCACCACTTTATCATACAGGGTGTGCCGAAAGACAGATGGACCCCCAAGGGAGGAGGTGCACAGGGCGCGGTGTGTGGGAGGCGTCTCAGAGCACCCACACCCTCTCCAGGCAGGCCTTCTCCCAGCACCGCCACGTGTTCAGCAACCCTGAAGCTCTCTGAACCCCGAACTGTTGGAATTTTTATGGGAACTTCATCACACACACATGACCAATGACTGACTAAAGATATTTGAAACAACCAATTGGGGACTGAATAAATAAATAAGACATCCATGAAATGAAACAGTAATGCTGTTATCAAAAACTAAGTTGTAAAAGTATGTTATATTAATACAGAAATATATTCATGATATGCTGTTACAAAAAGCACACCATATGTATATATGCCCAGAAAAACACCTAGAAGGACATGAACCTGTACTTAATACTATATGAATGATTTTCATTTTCATTTTTACATTTTTATGTTTCTATTTCCTCATTTTTCTATTATGACTATGTATTACTCGCACAATAACAAGTTTTTAAAATGTTTAATGAAAATGAAATTTGTGGACTAAGACACTTCACAAATTATATATTTAAGGAAAATGTACAACTGCTAAGACTAAAAACTAACATAAAGAAATGTGATTTAATTCCTTTATATTTAGAGGAAGGTGGAGCACAACAGTGCACTGTGAGTCTAGAAACTCAAGTTTTAGTTTTGACTCAGCCTGTGGCCTTTAGAAAGTCATTTAATCTTTTTCTATCTTGGATTTCTTAGGCATTAAATGAAGATGACTGTAGAAATAAATAATAAATGTGTAGCCATTTTAAAAGACACTGAATGTTATCTTTTGAGTCCCTGGTTTTATTTTGAGCCCCTGGTATTATTTTATATTAATGGTATTAAAACATCCAGTTACTTGTAATTTAGGAATACATGGATGAGTAATTATGATTTAATTATCTCATTTGTCAAATAAACCAGGACAGAAATCTCCAATAACTAGATGAACAATCTCTTCAAAATAAAGAATTATCAGCAATCATACAGGTAAATAGTATTTTTCCTTGGTTCCAAGTCCAGTTTCCATAGTTTATTAACAGACTCTCTGGAATTCAATCTGTGAAGAATTAAGTTCATTTCTCATCTATGGAGAGAAAACAGGCTTCTAGGTCTATTAGTGGGAAAGTGTTAAGACAGCAGTATTCTTTCCATGACTTTCTTTTCCATCCCTTTCCCCCCTCTTTCCAATTTCACTCAAACTACAAAAGAACCAGAGACATTAACAAATGAAGATTCTTCTTGACTCCAGCTCTGCATGTGTCATCATAATAGAGCTAACCTACTGAGACCACACAGCTGCCTGCTCTGATCTCCGCCAAGTGTCTGTAATTCATCTAGGCAATAGAAGCAAAGTACTTGAGCCCAGTTATAATTTTTCACTAGAAACAAAATGCTGACACTGACCTGAGTCAGTGCAGTTTATTGCTGTGTAAATTATCCCAAACTGGTCATTCGAAATGTTTCACACCAAACAACCTCAATGATGTATTGTATGTGGATGGACTTTGATCCTCAGGCAAGTATCAGAAGTCACTTAGTATGAAAATCTCACCTGAAACCTGTCTACCCATCCCTCAGAAGTACTAATACTTTGTGACTACCACATCATGCTGTCAGCATAAAACAAGAAAAGGAATAGAATAAAGCAGCAGCACCTAGAGCCTTCTGCCAGAAGAGAGAAGCAAGGTTACCTTGTATGTTGGTCTTAGACAATCTCTGCAGAGGCACTCAGAGCTCTTGGGCAAACCCGGTATTCATTATCCACATTTGTGGGAGTTCTGCTACAAACAAACGTTCTGCTAAGGTTGTCCTAGCGCCAACTCACTGAACATGCACTTTCCCTGTGAGTTCTAGACCCAGTAACTGGCCATATCTTTGACTGGCAACTGGTGGGGATAAAGCAGCAGGGCTGAGGGTGTAACTGGGAGTTGTACAACATAATCATTTCAGGATGGCTAAAATCTGCAGCATGGCAGACATCTATTATGAGAGACTGTCACAATACCATTCTCAAATTTTACCAAACTACTCATCCATAAATGATTCCTAAATATGCTTTTGGCTTGCTAGCGTTCTGTAGTGTAATTTTATAGTCATAAAAGTAAAAAGTACCAGGGGTTTTCTGTCTTTTCTATTAACAAATTATTTTGTGCCTTAGCTTTCCCTTTTCCTTTACTTAAGATGTTGGCAAAGAAAGACTTGACGAGAGCATTCTTAATTAAACTGTTCTAAGTATCTCTGTACATCACAGAGATGTACAGAGAAGTGCCATGAAGCTGAGGCTCCCTCAGTAACATCTCCTCAACTTCCTTAAGGAAATATGCCAGGTCCTGGTCCCAGTACGTCACTGCTAACACAGGACAACCAGGCGTGACCACTGTAATGGCCAGAACACCGCTGTGCTCTTCCCAACAGCTCCAGCCGTGGGGCTTCTGGCTCAGTGTCAGAGGGACTTCCAAACAAGAGCTTGCCTTGTGGGCTGCCATCATGGCTAAAGGGAAAAAAGTCCCTAGAAAAAAACAAAAGGGGTGCTCCTAACATTGTTATTTCTATCATACAGATAATCTAGTCCTCAGAAAGACTTGCAGTTGGGTTGAACAAGTAAGTCGCTATTAGAGAGGAAGATTCTGGAGTTGGGAGGGCCCTTCTCACTGATGGAACTTAAAATGCAACTGACGGCCTACAAATGGAGATTACACTTAGTACTGCTTGTGTCCCTTCCCTCTGCCTCATGTTTCTATGAAGTATTGCTCAGAAAGAGCCAACCTAGGTCAGCGGGTGCAGTGGATTCCCCCTACAACATATGCACAGCCTCCTCACAGGACCCTCTTACAGTCTCCTCCAGACTATCAAACTGAAGCCACCCAGGAGTCCTCCATCTGACCTCAGAGCCCAGACCACCCAGGAGAGCCCTGATGATATAAGGTATCAGTTTATTTGAAAGTAAAGTAGCTAAATCCCAGGATTTGTGGTTTGTGATCCTATCCTGTCATCTGATGTCAGGTTCATCTCACAGGAGATACTCATTAAAATCATGATAAAGCCAAATACAAAGTCTGGCAAACCAAAACACACAGCCATGAGGAAGGGCAGGTATGATCCATTTCTGCAGAGCTTTAGTTTGGTGTTATTCTCTGGCTTTTCAATGACGGACTGAATCCAGCTCATTCTACTGTAAATAGAGTGGTATATAATTTTGTCCTGTGTGACCTTCAAAAGAGAAAAGAGCCAGAACCATTTGCCCCCAAAGCCAAAATGCTACCAAGCATTAGTACTGATAGCCTACAACAATCATCCCACAGCTGCCAAGTAACCCCTGAGGTAAGTATACTGTCTCCTCTATCACCCCTTTTCTCTGCCCAACTCCATCCTTCCCCCGTGCCTAAATCTAAGACCTTCCAATCTATGAAACTTGATGAATTCTACTGGTTTAAACCTCAGAAAATAAGACTACCAATCTCTCCTTATTAATAGCATCCTTTTCATGATGGTAATTCTAGAATCCTATGACAGAACAAGACTGAAGTTCGAAACAGTTAACAAGTAAACACTTTACATAATATAAACATGGACCCAGTGAGCTTACCATCGACATTAAGCAGTGAGAGAATATTGTCTTGGTGATCAAGGAGGCGCTTAACTTCAAGAATATCCCATCCCAGTGATCCCTCTGTGGGCGCTACCAACCTGAAAATTACTAAGTGAAAAGACCGATATAATTTTATTAAAATAGTCAAAGAAGATAAGGTTCCATTTCTGCTTAAAAAACTAATATTTCACTAAGTGACAAATACCTAAATACTGAAAAAACCCGTCTCCAAAGACAGTCTTGTTCATGCTACTTTCTTTCTTTCAAATCCTTGAGATGTTTGCAATGATCTACTAAAATCCCGAGCGTGACCTCAGAACTCTGTTCCTTTATTAAAACTCTTCTAAACCCCCACCAACCATCAAGTCCCGTCCTCCCTAAGCCTTCAGTGCATGGCCAGCTCTCCCACCTTACTCTCCCCTTAGCCAGCGCTGGTCCGGATGCCTGAATCGCCCCCAACCATTAGCCTTCTCTCCTCATGCCAGGCCAGGAAGTATTGCTGCAAAATAAGCTATAAATTTGTGCTTAACCTCAAACTGGTGAAGACCTCAGCAGTTTTTACTTATTTATTTACTTTTCTTGATATCTAAGCTTACACCATTAAATTACAAATTCTCTGAGAGGATATGCCTTATAATTTTCGTGAGTTATGCAGTTCTTTTGGACTGTAGTGTTGCTTTACTCAACTGAGTTTAACAGTTTTATATAAACTTGTATTAATCCTAACATTAATCAATATAGAAAACTCAAAATCAAATTAACTGGAAAGATCAATAAACAGACATTTACTGAACACTTATGATGATGCTCCAGGAACTTAGATATTATATGTGACTAGGTTCCAGTTACTGCCCTGAAATACTCATCGAGAGTGGGAGTGAGCCTTATAAACCAGCTCAGAATCAATGCAGTCAGTGCTGTAACAGGCCCCAGCACCAAGTGCTGTGGATGCTCACAGCTTAGAAAAACTAGTATCCCAGAGGTCATATTCCTCCCAAGTGATGGCTTATTACTAAATTTCCCTTCTTTCTCACACTTCTCTCTGGAAAACAGATCACACCACATTTCCTTCTGTCTCTGGGCACATTTTACCAAATGACAAACCTCTACAAAGGTTATTTAATACTGACAGCCATTCACATTGAAACTGTGGTTGTCAGATGAAGAAGGTCTTTCCGTCAATACAAAGGGGTCTCTTTCTGACACCTAGCAAAGTAGAGTGAAAATTCTACTTTAGTTGGAATACTACCAAATGATGCTGCGATTGAGATTACAGAATAACAAGCAAGGTACTGTACTGTTTAATCCAACTAACAGGGAGAACAAACTGAAATACTGACCAAAAAACTACAAAGTACTAAAGATAATGTGAAACTGTTAAGTTCATAAATATAGTCTCTATAGTCAAGTATTCACAAGGGTCACATATGTAATAACTTCAAGGAAATAAACATTAATTAGAAGATAAAAGAAAAGCAATGGTCACTTCTAAAAAAGGGTTAACAGAAAAATCTTGAACTTTTGAACCAGGATAAGTACTCAGAGTGATGATAGTCCTGCCCAGCTAATAAAAGCCTCAAAGTAACTGCAGGCAGTGCACACAGAAATTTTATTTCCTGTTGAGAAGATTCACGTGAGAAAAAGAGAGGGACAGGGGCACAAGCTTAGTCTTAGAAATAGAAAACATAGTACATTTAGAGGAATAAAACTTCTTTTTCATAAGGAAAATGGCACTACATATTTACTTCATGAAAAAGTTAAAGTGAAAGTCACTCAGTGGTGTCCAACTCTTTGCAACCCCATGGACTGTAGCCTGCCAGGATCCTCTGTCTATGGAATTCTCCAGTATTCTGGAGTGCGTAGGCATTCCCTTCAGGGGATCTTCCCAACCCAGATAGAACCCAAGTCTCCCACACTGCAGGAGGATTCCTTAGCATCTGAACCACCAGGGAAGCCCTATTTTAAGGCTAAGTAAAATGGAAATCCTCATTTTTAAGTATATTTGTATTTTTTATAAATTATTTTGAACAAAACCAACTTTAATTTCTTCCCTTTTTAAGATGATATTCTAATTTCTGCTGAGGCATCAATGTTATTTTTATTACTATTTGAATGAATTCACTAATTCATTCAATAAAAATCTCTTTATTTGTTAGGAGAAAGATTAAGAAAGTTTCAGTCACCACGGCACTAATATTCTGAAGGGGCGCGACAAAGAGAGACCAAAAAGCAAACATAAGTTTTGAGAGTAGTAAGTTAAATGACAGACATGAGATTATGAGAATACACAGGTAAAACCTCTGGGAGGGGAGGTATAAGGAAAGCAAGACCAACCAGGCAAAAGAGATGAGTACCTGAACAGAGCAACACTAATGAGATGGAAAGAAGTGGATCAAAATATTTAGAGCAGCCGCCCTCAAAGAATGGCCCCAGACCAACCACCTTAGCACTCCCAGTACGTGTTAGAATGCAGACGCTCAGGCCCCACTCCAGAGCTAGTTAACTAGAAACTCTGGGAGTAAGGCCCAGTATTTTGTGTTCTTAACAAGTCCTTCAGGTCATCCTCATGCACACTACATTTTGAAAACCACCAAATTAGAGTAAAACCAGCAAAACACAAGCAATTGATTAGCAACAAGAGGAAAACAGCAGGGAAAAGCGAAACACCTTTCCAGCACAATAAAGAACATGGGAAAACTGAATTTCTGCAAGGAAGAAAAAAAGAAAAAAACACTACATTTTATCTTTAGAAGCTGCTTTATGAAAAGAAAGCATAAGCATTGGATCTAGAAAATTACTTCTCAGACATGACTATACAGGGAAAGTTCAGTTGAAGAAAGAAAAACTTGACTGCAAAGCAGAAGAGCCTGCAGATAGGCTCATTTCTCACTGGCATTTGCAAACATGCAAACTGATGATCACAGTCAATCTCGAGACTGGTCTCTAGAAGTAGCAGCACAAGTAATATCAAATGCCCTCGGGGCTTCATTAGACAAATTCCTCAAGAAAAGAGCAGGTTTTAAAAAGCAACTCCATCACTTCTCAGCACACGATTTTTATCCATAAGGTAATGAGCATAATAGGCTTGTCTTTTCTTTTTTTAAACTGCAGACTCCTGGCAGTAAATGAGTGAGCCAATAGTCAACAGTTAAGAGACTGGCCTTCAAATGGCATTTTTATAATCAGTTAGGACATTCATAGCATTCCTCTTGTTCTCCCTCCTTCTGCCATCCCACTAATCTGAGGGAAATGGTATAAACTCCACCTTCCAATAAAATGGGTCCTACTCTGGTTTCCTCAGGCAAAAACTCCACAGCTCCTGTCTTACTGAACTCTCATAACCCTATTCCAAACCCAGCTTGTTTTAAGTTTTTAGAATGTTGGTAGTTGTTTTATGTAGCTAAAGTTTTTGCTGAGTGAGTGAGTGTGGGTCATCAACAGAGAGGACTGTGGGATGTAAATGGCCCTCTCCAGCATCAGAGGAGTAGGGTTACCTTGCCCACTTGCCTATGCTAGACCAAGTATGATGCAAGAAGCGACCTAACATCTTGAAAATGTCTCAGGTTCCATATCACTTCAATAACCCCAGGAGGCCAAGACTGGGGCAGGGAAAGATGTCCTTTAAATAAAAAACTGAATTAGTCTTTCCAAAATGTTTACACAAGGCTAGTTTAAAATTTTAAAAAAGAAGAAATAAAGGGGGAAAAAATCATACTCACTCAGTTCTTTGCCAACTGCTGCCACAACACAGTTCTTAGGTATTTCAATCAAAGCACTGATCCCTTCAAAAACATATAAAACAAAAGTTAAACTATCTTCTTAATGGATTAGATCAAAAACATTTTCAGATTTATATTAGTCATTTCTTCAAAGGGGATGGTAACAATAAAGCTCACACAATTCGCTATATCACACTTGCATGTGAAAGTGACTTTGTGAAGTCAGTAAGATCTCTCGAAGGCTTTATTGATTTATGAAGGGTAGAAAATGCTCTTTGAATATTTGTACTATTGTGGCAAACTTATTTACCAGGGACCCCTTAAGATAATCATCATCGCCACTTACAAGACAGCTAGCTCAAATGGAATACAAAATTGGCATTTTTCCTCAATGTAAATTTAAGAAGCCTGGGTGAACTCCCTGGCAGCAAATAAATGAGCCAACAGTAAACAGCTAAGAAAGTGGCCTTCAAATAGTATGTTTATAATCAATCAGTACATTTACAAAATTCCTTGTATTACTAGAATAATCAGATTCAACATTCCATCACATTTCACTTATTAAGCATACAGTGCTAAGTACATTTTTTATAGCTAAATCATGAAATGATTTTAGGATAACCACAACTTCTGTAACATATGTTATAATGATCACTTTTGTCAGCAAAAATTAAAGAATTCATGTGTTAGATTTAGAATTACCATATGTGTTGGCACAAAACTTGTTTATTAATGTTAACTTTTCCCTTATAAAATATATGTAATTTTTATATAGTAATTCATAACACATATGCTAATTGGGAAAATATTCTCATCTGCTTTACCTCCCCACTTGGGGAGTATTTCTGGCCAACATCTTTCCTCCACATAGGTCTTACCAATATGTTTTATATTTTTCCATTTTTCAAGGACAGGGCGTAGATGGTAGAGGAGGAGAAACGGAAGCAGTAGTGTACAGGATAAAGTAGCAGAAGAGACAGGAGAGCAGGGGAAGGGAGAACAGCAGAGAATTCCAGATGCAGAGAACAGCTTGTTAAAAAATGTTGATTACTTATGAAATAAACTTACTATAAGCTCAATAATCCAGAAGTAGCAACTTAATACACAGAATCACAGAACATATTGTTGGAAAGGGCACGGATATCCTGTTTTCTAGTCCAAGGCTCCTTCCATTTTAACCATACTAAGATTATTTTTGCTTATTTCCAAATACATAACTGCCCCTAAAAAGCCCTGCCAGTCCACAAATCAAGCAAGGCTCAGTGAAAGGAGTTTCATAAAATAAAGATCTAATAGTACTGCTAACAACTTGGCATCTGGTAATTTGGAAAATCCAAATCACGGAAAGCTCACCAATGGCAACTTAAGGTCTTTTAAAAGCTTTCTAACTGATTTTCTCAAAGGTTTCTGCTATCTCTTACTAATAAACAGGGCAATACTGTGACTACTTACAGTACAGTACTCAGAGTTAATTTGCAAAGGGAAGGGGAAGCGCAATAACAGGTGATTATTTCCATTGACATGCAAAAGGCCCTTTTAGCCCTGAGTTCAGTATCTCACAACAAGTGTGCGAGCATGCTCAGTCACTTCAGTCGTGTCTGGCTCTTTGCAACCCTGTGGACTGTAGCCTGCCTGGCCCTTCTGTCCCTGGGACTCTCCAGGCAAGAACACTGGGCTGGGTTGCCACGCCCTCCCCCAGGGGTCCTCCTGACCCAGGGATCGAACCCACACTCTCAGGCCTCCTGCACTGGCAGGCGGGGTCCTCACCAGCACAAACTAGGCCACTGGCGACCAACTGGCGAGCTGAGGAGGTAACTACAAACCCTGGTGAGGCAGGGGCTTAGCTTCATTAAGACGTCGCATCATTCCTCTGGTATTCTGTAACACCCATGTGGCGGTACGCCAGTAGAGAAGTGTATATTCAACTCACAGGCCTCCTACTACTCTAAGGCAACAATAATGTGCTTTGATAACACAGGCGTACCTTGGAGATATTTTGGGTTTGGTTCCTGACCAAAACAAAGGAATTATCACAGTAAAGCAAGTCAGACAGATTTTTTAATTTCCCAGTACATATGATAGTACTGAAAAAGCTGGCCTAAAACTCAACATTCAAAAAACTAAGATCATGGCATCTGGTCCCATCACTTCATGGCAAATAGATGGGGAAACAATGGAAACAGTGACAGACTTTATTTTCTTGGGCTCCAAAATCTCTGCAGACGGTGACTGCAGCCATGAAATTAAAAGACACTTGCCCCATGGAAGAAAAGCTGTGACCAACCTAGACAGCATATTAAAAAGCAGAGACATTACTTTTCTGACAAAGATTCATCTAGCCAAAACTATGGTTTTTCCAGTAGTCATGTATGGATGTGAGAGTTGGACTATAAAGAAGGCTGAGCACCAAAGAACTGATGCTTTTGAAACGTGGTGTTAGAGAAGACTGTTGAGAGTCACTTGGACTGCAAGGAGATCAAACCAGTCCATCCTAAAGGAAATCAGTCCTGACTACTCATTGGAAGGACTGATGCTAAAGTTGAAATTCCAATACGTTGGCCACCTGATGTGAAGAACTGACTCATTGGAAAAGACCTTGACGCTGGGAAAGATTGAAGGCAGGAAGAAAAGGGGATGACAGAGGATGAGATGGTTGAATGGCATCACTGACTCAATGGACATGAGTTTGAGCAGGCTCCAGAAGTTGGTGATGGACAGGGAAGCCCAGCATGCTGCAGTGCATGGGGTCGCAGAGAGTCAGACACGACTGAGTGACTGAACTGAACTGATAATAGTTGTTAACAGTATACTGTCATCTGTTAAATGTGTAATAGTATTATGTCTAAAAGACAATGTATGTACCTTAATTGTAAAACACTTTATTGCTAGAAAAATATTAACCATTAGCTGAGCCTTTAGGCAGTCATTCTTTTTGCTGTTGGAGGTTGTGAAATATTACAAGAATTACCACAATATGACAGAAACACAAAGTGAACAAATGCTGCTGGAAAAATGGTGCCAAAAGACTTGCATGATGCAGAGCTGCCACAAACAATCTGTAAAAAAACGCATCATCTGCAAAGCCAAATAAAGTAAAATGCAATAAAACAAGGTATCCCTGTATTCTTTCTAGGATGACCATGGGTTCATTTCGTTACTTTTAGAAACAAAAATAGTTATTAGTGGATCACATGATTTTAAGGTTACTGTCATTTAAATTTACTCATTTACACTTAAATATTTTTACTCTGAGTAAATTTTTATTCTTTAAAGTTCCTTGATACCAATTTAAGTCAAAACTGATTTTTTTCTGAGAAAACAGAACTTGGTTTTTACATCTGCACATGAATGACATTTCCTTAGTAAAACCAACTGTAAAATGAGGGCATCCTTAGGACTCTATGCAAAGTCTGATGACCCTACAAATGAAGAAAATATTTTTGTAAAGTCATAAAGATCTGCTGCCAGGTGTCAACAGGCTCATCAAACTCAGTTTAGGACATGGTCCAGGAACATATAAGAAAAGGTTTTTCTTGTTCAGTTTTGAGAAATTCTGTTAGAAGGGGTGAAGAAGCCAAAAGAAGGGGAACCTTTTCCTTCCAATTTGAAATGGAAATATATTTTACACAACCCTTCACCTGAATTGGAAAATATGGCTACATCTTATATTCAGAATTAAAAAGAAAAGCTCCTATATTCCTATTGTATTCATGGAAAGTCTCTTTGAAGATTCACTGTGTCTTTATTTTAGAGTCTATCATGGTTCACAAGTACCTTGATTTGTTTTTACCTGTATCAGAAAGGTGACTTGTCTTACACAGAAGATCTAATTTTCGGTTCCACACACACAGGTCATTCCCACCAGAGAGCCAAACGTCTAGTCTCTGAAGAACAGCTAAACACTGCAAAATTCATGCAAAATATTTTATCAGTTTAGAAATTCAAGCATTAAGTGGTTTTAAAATATGTCCACAAGTTGATACCCTTTCCCTTCAAGAGATCAGTAATCTGCAAAGTAAATGAGGTAACACTACTTCATTTTACTAGTATCTTTCCCCAAGCCTGCTGAAATTATTGAAAAACCATGGCACTTCCTGAGAACATTTAAGGTAGTTTCTTCTATAGGAATGAAAGTAGCCAAGTCTTATCCAAGTTTGTTTCTCCAACATGTAGCAGAGTTTCTACCAACAATAAGCCCCAATTAGTATGTTTATAAAATGAACCTAAGAGTAGCCACAAAAGATTTTGTTCTGGAACTAGGTAGCGACTGCTAAATTATGATTTTACAGAAAACAGACAGTGAGGCACAAATAGCTCCATGTTTCAATTTTAAAGTTAAAACAGAGAAAAACAAAAAGACTAGCTACTGCCATATCACTTGAAAAGTAGTATCCCTTCCTAGAATTACCTACTAGAAACATACTAGGTACTACCTTTTTCCTTATCTTACTATAGAGATTCACCTCTTGCTCTAATTTAAAATTCAAACATTCTAGCATTTAATATACATACTCCCCCAAAATCTAGACTTAGAAGAATCAAATGACTGTAGGTATGAGTAGAAGAAATAATTTTTAAAACCTACAAAGATAATTTCATCTAAATCATTAGATAACTTTTTCTGAAATAAAAAGATTATTACCATAAAGTATCTGATTAAGATTTTACCTTTACAGTAGACTGGAAGCATGATACTTTCTGAACTTGTCTACCAGTATCACAATCCCATTCCTAAATTTATGTTAAGAAATAATTTCTAAGCAGAATTTCAAAAACTTAATTATGAGATAACTTTTATAATTATTAATACAAATATTGCACATTTTATGTAGAAAATATATAAAGCATAAAGTATTTTGTGTTTATACTACTACAAAAATCAACTTAGCATAGCAAGCTTATAATCTAAAATAAGTTTTGATGTAAATTTTACTACAAAACCATTTGAAAATACCAACAGAATGAATGGTCTGAATATAAAATCTTTATAAAGCATTAAATATTGCACTATAAAAAATTTAACTTTTACTCTCCAAAACAGTCTATCATAATCTAATAAACACTGAACATAAAATATTTATACTAAAAACTATCACATCCATTAATTAACATTAACTGAAAGCTCCCTCAATGTGCCTGGCATGATTTTACTAGTTATCTTAATTCAAAGAAGACAGTAACCAAATACCTATATCCATATTTAAAATAATTTCAAGACCTCTCATAAAAGGTCCAAGATTAGTCTGACTTAAGGAGCATAATGATTTTCAAATTTTTTCGTACCATTTCCTATGGTAAGATATACATTTTATATGAGAACACATTTACATATAACTATGTATACACACACAAATATGGACTCATAAAATTAAAATTTGACCAAAGGAAAAAAACTACCCTCAGCATTTAATTAATGAAGTTATTTAATAGCAAATACCCAAGCATGTAAATTTAAAATCCATTTGAATAAATGGAAGTACTAACAAAGCAACCTGAAATTATTTTTAACAAGAAAAGTCATTCAGCAAAGGAAATTATTCTAGCACTCACAGTTGAAGTTTAGACTGATACTGTCCCAGCTACCCATGTCTGTACTGTAATAGTAATTTTAACAATTATCTCTAAATAGTATTCTAGTACCTTAGGAGCAGTCTAATAAAAAGAATTTTATATTCTATTTTTGCAGAGATTATCCTGATACTGAAAACAAACAAAAAAGAGTTTTAGCCCATGCCTCAACAGAGCGATGGCAGTACATCTACTGTGACCTAAACACACTAAGTGCATTTTATGCCCCTGATTATGCAACACTGTAATCACCACAGTATGTCATTTTATCTCCACCTAAATCTTTTTGTGAATTTCTACCACCTACTGGCAATCTGTCTAAAAATCACTTCGACTGACAAGCTTATGTAAATAAAGTGTGTCATAAAGTATGTTTTGGTTCTACAGAAGCCTAAGAAACACCTACACCTTTGGGCTTACTCCAAAACTCAACTTCACTAACACCTGAAGTTATTTAAATAGAATTCTCAGATAAGCACAGACTTTTTAAAGCTAATCTATGACACCTTTAAAAAAAAAAGCAATGAAAGATTATCTATAGCACTCAGCTATAGCCTTCATAGATTAAATTCCTCCTACAAATATAAAAAGGCTAAGTTTGTTTAAGAAAAATATTTTATGAAAGCAGTATCGCAGAGTGATTCAGAGCTCTGACTCTGCAGTCAGACTACTGCCTTTGGCCCTAAACAGGCTGCATGAACTTGGGCCATTTACTTAACCTCTCTGTGCCTCTCTTATTTATAAATGAAAGTAATAAAAATATTTATTATAACGGTTAAATGAGTTAATAAATGCAAAACAGAACAATGCCTGGCACATACATGCAATTTATAAAACATTACTATGGCTGTTACATCTTAAATTTTCAACTAAAAGTATAACGAGGGAAGGTAATTTACATTTTTTCATTGTTTTAAAATACTAAATATATAAAACACTGAGCACATGGTAATTCACTTTTCTGCCAGACTTGGATTGTCAGAAGGTTCTTATGGGTTGGGACTATTAAGTTTCTTTTGCAGTACAATGAGCATATAAGAAAATGTGAATTATTCTCCAGTTCAACTCATCTTTGTTTCTCTAAATTGAAAAGCAAACTGAGATGATAAACATTTTAAGTTTACATTCTTCCATTTCCTCCATCTTTTGTAATTTATATAAAGCTGGGAAGAACAGCTTTAGTTATGGAGTTTCCATCAACAATAAGCCTTAACTTGCTACTTCCAATCTAATTCTTTTCAGACATCTAATACTTTTAATAAGAAGCGTCTTATGAAGGCTAGAACAAAACCATTTTTGCTAAATCATGAATGTACAGACAGGCCTCAAGAGGATAAAGACTAATAATGTATGTACTGGTCCCTTGGATCACCACAGCTATTTCACTTGGTTCTAGATTTAAGGATATAATAACTGTTCTATCAGCAGAGGCCGTCAAGATCAGTTGATTTTTTTCTTCACAAGTTTCCAAACAAGGCAATGTAATAATAGCTGTTATCTTTTGAGTGTGTCCACTGAATTCCAAAAGTTTTTCTCCTGTCTGAAATATCAATAAAAATGTTAATAGTACTTTATATTTTATAACTTAATTTTAAATGACAACATTAAGCAAAACCACCAGGTAGAAAATACATACATTCCATTTGAAATTAGATTTTATAATTTAAGCAACAGGATCTAAACAGATACTAAAAGAGTAGGCTTAAACAATTTAAAATACTTTCTAATAGAAAATAGCAGATTGTTGTAGGAAACTTTAAGGAATACTCTTTCCATATGGTTTTCAGGTTATAATTATGTAAGTTAAGTATAAAATATCAGTAACTTAGCAGGGAAAATATAGGGAGTCTTCATTATCCAAATATCATTATCTCCATATTACAGCATTGCAGAAGAAAATAAAAGCCCACGTAACAGTAACAACTGGACACACATACCCAGTAATGTATCAACCACTCATAAAGTCAGCACTGACTCTATTTCTAATTAACATCAACAGCTATTCCCACCCATCCAATGTCTTCATCCACCAGTCTCTCACTGACTTCCCAAGTAGTAAATACAAAAATGCAATGTAAATATAACATAAATTTCAAATCTCTCCAAGGTTGCAGGATTTCATGATGTATGTGATGAATGTAATGTTAAACTGTGTCCATCACAGGCAAAGCCATTGAAAAATGAGGATCTGATGGAGTCAGACTAGTTAACAGTCCAAACAAGGATGAGTAGATAAATGCTTCAAAAGAGAATACTTTGAGAATCCAAGGATTAGGAAGAGAGGACCTAGAGAAATTTGGTAAAGCCTTAAATATTAAAAATAATAATAATAATAATAAACCTTTTAATACATTACTATTAAAGTGAAACATGGGAAGAATACTATGCTGTCAACAATTTAGAAAAATTCAGAAAAAATTGTCAATTTGGAAACACCTGTCTCTCACAAAAATCAACACCTGATTCGTTTTCAGAATCAGTACATAGCTGCTAACTTAAATTTTGCTGAATTAAAATTAAGACATTTATTTCCATAATTTAGCATTTGTTTCTCAGAAAAAATCTTAAATAAAAAACTCTATTATGAAACATTGATCCTCATTTTTTCATCCTAAGCAGCCCTTTTCAAACATTAATTCAGCTCAGTCTACCGATATGCAGGCTTATCTCCAGGTAATGTTTATGAATGCATACTCAACTATAGAGTCATGTCTTTGTTACATAATCCACATAGAATCAATACACACCTGGGCATTCCACACAACTACAATTCCATCATCACCAGCAGATGCAAATCTGGTTAGAGAAAAAAGGTTAAGAAAAAAAAAAATCACTGATGACATTTAAGTGTTAAAATTACTAAGACTAATCAGACTTTAGGGACTTCCCTGGTGGTCCAGTGGATAAGACTCCTTGCTCCCAATGCAGGGGGCCTGGGTTCAATCCCTGGTTGGGCAACTAGGCTCCACGTGCCACAACTAAGAGTTTACATGCCACAACGAAGGCCTGACGCAGTCAAATAAATAAGAATAAAATTTTTTAAAAAGAATTACCAGACTTTATTAATAGTATTCTGACTTAATCAAGGCACATTAAGTTCTTTAAGCCAACTTAATAAATCTTTATAGAATACTTTCTAATTTTTATGTCGGGTACTGAAAATCCAAGAATGAATAAGACCATTCAGAGAGTTATAATGAATAAACTGCTAGACTAAGAATAAGGGAGATCTATAAATGATCTTTAAAGCCCTTCCTTTAAAATTATATGATTAAACCCTGAAGTGACATGAAACCGAGCTGAGGAAAAGCTACAGTGACAGGAAGTGATATTCCAGGAGTAGACCAAAGGAATCATGTCCTTAGATTCCTTATTGTCTAGGTAAAAGCATCTAGATATTTTAACTCTACTATATGTAAAGCCAATATCTCTCAGTTCTGTGGTCTTTCCTGTGGTCAGCTCTGTTCCTCTCAGTTCTGTAGTCTTTCCCCATAAATATCGTGTCCTTTGGTTTGGAAAGTTTGGTTTCTATTTTGGTTTTTTTTTAATGAATATGCTTGAAAAAGGTAAAGGTAAGTTTGCTTCTTGGCATGAAAAAAGAATTGTAATGAACTAAATTATAGCTTTTCTCTACTCTTTACCATCCACTGACTACAGATGAAAAAACAACCATCTATATTTTGTAGAATAGAAAATAACCATGATACAAACACTATCAAGAAAAATAATTTGTACAGGATTATTCATCACAATGGCTGAATTATAATAAAATCAAGATAGCATTGTTCCTAAGCAGTGTCCCAACACAGTGGTATAGAGCAGTCACACTGTAACCATGTCAACTGATTTGTTAATAATGTACTACACGAGTGTGTAAATAACTCATGATGAATCAAAATCGATTCAAAGTTGTTCTCCTAATACCACTTTTTATTCACTTGAATTCAAGGTCTGCTTTTCTGAATGGGAAAGAAGGAAGAGGTATTATTGAGACCCAGCTATGAACTGCATCTGGTTATGGTTAATAACCATTAATAAATGGTACTCCACGAGTAGCTATGGTGTTTAGAAAATGTGTACTTTCATGCAAGATTGTTAGCATGTTTTCACAAAAATCTGGGCATGCCTTAAACATCTTCATTAAAGTAAACACTGTTAGCTGTGTGTGCGCCATTGGGAGAAAAGTAGAAAACTACTTGAGGACACAAAAACTATTAATGCTTTGGCCCTGAGAGTCTCTGTTATATTGAATTTTACCCTATAGAGATCCACATAATCTCCCTACTTCAGTCATATAACACTTTCCTTAACACTCCAAACTGAGCTTCAAGTTCAAATTTCTCGTGCTCAGTTTCAAAGCCTCATACATAGCTATTGTCCTCTCTGGTTCTGATAATTCCCCTACTCAGTACCCGCTACAGAATCTTTTGATTACATCTTCTACCTCAGGAGCTAAGAGATTATCCAGGAGATGGGAGATTGGCCTAATAGAGTCTGACAGAGTTCATTAGTAACTTTTAATAAAGAACTACTTATCTTTTAAAGAGAAAGGACCTTTTAAAATGTCTTAGTTAACTAGATAGAAACCATACAAAGAATTATTTTTAAACCCATACATAACATTTATTCTGTTTTCAAAATGAAATATATAAAAGATATGGAGACTAAAATGAAAACAATTTTATATTTAAAAACAATTTCTTATGCTTAATTACACAGACTGTCTGAATCAGAATACTAAGCAATGCCTTAAATATCAAAAATACTGCTGGATGTCAATCTTTAACAGCTTATGTTTCTAGGGCTATTGATTTCTTTTTACTTGTACCATGATGATGGGGAGGGCAGAACTCAAGGTCTTAAGATTTCTTTGATATAAAATATCAATTTCTATTGATTCTTGAAACTCTTATAATTGCTTTTCTCCCTTTTAGCAGAGTACAGGTTTAAAATATACTTTTTCTAGCCCTGATTTTTAACTTCTCATTATTGCTTTATCATGTCTGAATTTCATGACTTCACAATGAGATGATTGAATGGTTGAGAGTTTAGAAATGAGATACAGAGCATTTCATCTCAAACTTTAATTCAATCAGTGGTGAACAAAAGTTAAATCTAAACAATGCTCAATCTAAACAATGTTCAATAGTAATGTATGAATCCACAGCCCATTTTTTTCTTTTTATTGTTCAGAGGTCAATTATCCAGTTTGTGTATTATTCAGGCTTTTCAATTCTCATATTCTATTGCGCTCCCCCCACTTTTTTTTTTTGCCGTTCCAGTATTTATTATTACCTGCTCTAAAGAGGAAACATGAAACTTTAAAACACAAACCAGTTTGACTTTGTTACATACCAGTACCAGCCATAAAATAACTAATAAAGGGATGGAAGATCATTCACAAATGACAATTATCCATTCTCCTAGCATGGATAACTGAAAACTAGCAGCAGTGTATCAGCTTATCTTAAATCAGTTTATCCTCATCAGTCAAGCACACACTCTTCTGCTGCTGCTAAATCGCTTCAGTTGTGTCCAACTCTGTGCGACCCCATAGACGGCAGCCCACCAGGCTCCACCGTCCCTGGGATTCTCCAGGCAAGAACACTGGAGTGGGCTGCCATTTCCTTTTCCAAGCACACATTCTAGCCATCTCCAAATGAGAAATGAAAATTCAATCTAAGAATCCCTAACAGTAAGATACACTGTAACTATGAAAAGAAGTAAGGAACAATAAAAGAAGTAATTAAATGCCAATAATGTTTAATATAGTCAATGGAAGAAAAAACAGGGGCTATACTGCCATACAATAATATACAAAAAATTTTTTAAACACTTTATATTAATAGAACCCAAAGATTCAAGTCTAAAGTTAAGAGTTTAAGAGAAATCCTTCTTTACTGATACACACACAATAGTAAGATTTCATATCATTTGTTAGAGAAATGCCAAAATCAATTATATGTGGTTCTTATTTCAAGATCTTAAAACTCAGTGATTGTTTAGAAATGTACTAAAGAAATATAAGACATCAGCTGTAAGACATACTATTATTTTATGTACTATTAAGGAAAAATGCTGTTAGTTATAAATGAAAGACACCAATTATATGATGTATCCAAATTACAGAGATGTTTCAGTACCAAAAATAGGCTTTTTAGAATCAATGAAATTTAGTAATTATCATATTTATTTATCTTTCCAATATGGCACTTTCCAGTCTAACACATTTCTGATTACCTCTAGCAGGTTTAAAGGACTAAAGAAACAGTCCTTGTTTCTTGGCATGAAAAAAGGGCTGTAATGAACTAAATTATAGCTTTTCTCTACTCTACCATGCATTCACTACATGGCAAAAAAACAATCATCTGTATTTTGTAGAGTAGAAGACAATCATGATATAAACACTATCAAGAAAAATAATGTGAAAAGATGCTCAACATCGCTCACTATTAGAGAAATGCAAATCAAAACTACAATGAGATATCACCTCACACCAGTCAGAATGGCCATCATCAAAAAGTCTACAAACAATAAACGCTGGAGAGGGTGTGGAGAAAAGGGAACACTCTTGCACTGCTGGTAGGAATGTAAACTGATATAGCCACTATGGAAGATGGTATGGAGATTCCTTTAAAAACTAGGAATTAAAACCACCATATGGCCCAGCAATCCCACTCCTAGGCATATACCCTAAAGAAACCAAAATTAAAAAAAATACATGTATCCCATCGTTCACTGCAGCACTATTTACAATAGCTAGAACATGGAAGCAACCTAGATGTTCATCAACAAATGAATGGATAAAGAAGCTGCAGTACATGTATACAATGAAAAATTACTCAGCCATAAAAAGGAATGCATTTGAGTCACTTCTAATGAGACTAGATTACACACAGTGAAGTGAGTCAGAAAGAGAAAGATAAATAGCGTATTCTAATGCATATATATGGAATCTAGAAAAATGGTACTGAATAATTTATTTACAGGGAAGCAATGGAGAAACAGACCTAGAGAACAGCCTATGGACATGGGGAGAGGAGAGGGGAGGAGAGGGTGAGGTGTATGGAGAGGGTAACATGGAACTTACATGACCATGTGTAAAATAGACAGCCAACGGGAATTTGCTGTGTGGCTCAGGAAACTAAACAGGGGCTCTGTATCAAACTAGAGGGGTGGGATGGGGCGGGAGATGGGAGGGAGGGGATAAATGTATACCTATGGCTGATTCATGTTGAGGTTTGACAGAAAACAAAATTCTGTTAAGCAATTATCCTTCAATTAAAAAATAAATATTTTTTTAAAAGGCAAAAAAAAGAAAAATAATTTGTACAGTGGTTGACATAATAAAAGTCACAGTGGCTGACTTATAATAAAATCAAGAAAGCACTGTTCTCAAGCAGTGTGAATAAGCAAACATTTAAGTGTTAAAAGGGCTCTGTAAAATAGATTCCTAAATAGTATTAAAGTAACCTCACTTTTTCCTTTTATTATGACTAAAATACCAACATACTATCACAACAAAAACAGAAGTTCAAAATATGTAAAGCCCAGCTCACGACATACCAAAATAAATTTTATTTTCCTGTCTCATTCTTATGCATAACCTTCAAGTTTTCTCAACTTATTAATAATACCAAGTCTTTAAAAATAACTCAATGAGACTATAAAATTAAATGACTAAGCAAAAACTATACACTTGAAAAAAGTTTAAAAAATGAAGTGTGATTTCTGAAGCCCTATAGCAGAACTTTTAGAATGTTCCATCCTCTCCTCATTATGAGAATTAAATTGAT